CCCGGCATATACATCGGGATCATGAATATCTCAAATCTTTTTCACATCTTTTTGCAAACGCCGGCAATTTTGTACTCCGAAGATAGTGCACTCATATATATGGGTTGCTTGTGGATGTCTACTTTACGCTGTCGTCCTTTTTCTCGCCCGTTTTAAACAATTACATGCTATTTACATTTCTACCCCGGCGACGATAGTATGATATCGAAGTTAGTGTTGAAGCGCAGTATCAAAATCAGCATGGTGGAGTTTCTTTCATACTTTTTTTTTTTTTTTTTTTTTTTTTAAAGATGCTATGCATTTTTATTGTTTAGCAAGGGATTTGGATCAGGATTCCGGACTGGGATTATTGAGCATGTCCTGGCGGATCATTTGCTTCCGTGGGCCATGTCTGCTGTGGAGCATCGGTTTGATAACAAAGGGGGGTTGGACAAAAAAGGGAAAGGGAATTTCAACACCAGGATTTTGTGTTTTTCATGAGCAACAGTTATATGGTTTGTTTTTTGATAGGTGTTTAGGTTTTCCTTCTTATGGGCATTTTGCGACCTCTTTTTAAATCTCTCCTGAGTTCCAGCTGTGGTAATGCCCCCTCCTATTTTTATGGTTTTAACAGTTATCAATGGAATGGTATATGTGCTTTAATGACCATGAATCTTTTAATTTTTCCATTCAAGGGGGAATGAGGGAAGCCTTTCCCCCCTGTTCCAGAAATTAAGAAAATAAAAAAATAAAAATAAAAATAAAAATAAAGAATTAGAATTAGAATAGTTATACACTAGGACTAAGAAGGTACATAAAATTATTTTGAACTTCGAAAATAAGCGCAACCCAGTTGACCGATTCATCATAACGGTATTATAGCAGTCTTATTTCCAACACCGTTCTGGGCGCCATCGTATGTGCATGTTAGGCATTTTGAACTTGCCCAACCTCCTCGGTCTTTTCAGGAGGAGGTCGCGGTTCATCTGCAGAATGAGATTCTGGCTCTGGTTCTGTTTCTGCGGAAGTATTATTCTTTTCTTCTGGTTGATCCTGAGTGGTATTTTCTGTGTTGGAATCTGGAGATGGTTGATCTTTTGTTGCAGCTTCGGCTGGTAGGTCGTCAGAGGGCCTTTCGGGGGAGCTTTCGGGCTTCGAATCCGGTTCAGATTCCTTCAGTGGTTCTGCCACTGGGGCCTGGGTTTGTTCCTCGTTCTCTTCTTGCGCCTGTATTTCTTCTTGTTCGGGCCCACTGGGTTGTTCATGTAAGGTTCCATTCTCCGTAGGCTCAGTGTCCGCATTGACCCCGGGTTGCGAGAGTTTATTGGATGTATCGGTCATCTCAGTTTGCTCTTCCTGTCCTAGCTTCTCTGGCAATGACGTTATCCCATCCTCCCCTGGTGTCGCGACAGCTTCGGAAGATTGTTCAGATGGTGTCGACGGGGTATCATTCTGTAGAGTGTCGAGTTGTTCGACATCTGTCTCTTCCTCCGTCTCTTCCGTAGGCTCAAGAGCAGAGGTATCCCCCGTGGTCTTAGAACCATCTTCGTCTTCAGCAGCCTCTGCTATCGTGCTGACAGCAGCACCCGTTGATGGCGAATGACGATGTCGTCTTGTCGTTGCTCCAGTTCCCAAGGAGGAAGCGGAATCTAAACTTAACTCAGGCTGGCGTTTATCTTCTTTGCGTAGTATTGTCATTTTTCGGCCTGCTTCATCCGGCTTGCTCGTTCGCGGTTCTTCCCCTTCTGCTTCAGCAGGAATAGTATAGTTATCCTCCGGGAGCAAATTGTACATGTCGCAGACGGTTTTGAAAAAGACATGGAGTCCATCGTGGCCCTCCACTTGCCAAAAGACCTCTCGATGCTGGAACCAGGCGTGTGCGAAAATTCGATATACCCTCCGAAAGATGTTCGTCAAATGTCTCATGCTCGCCTGAGGGCCACCTCCTGCCTCACTCCCTAGGGTCAATCTGCTCGGGAAGAATTTGGGCGATGTGAGAATGTTTGTCGCCCAGTCGAGTGTATGACAGCAATAGTCAATCGCGCAGCACGCTTTAGGCGGATCATGTACTGCGCAGAGGTACTGCCATTCAGAGGCGCGCATTTCAGGACACGTTTGTACCGAGCAGGGAGGAGTTTCAGCGAAGAAGGCAATGACGATATTATTCGCCTTCATAGTGAGGAAACGGCATAGTTCGTAAAGCCAAAGAGAACGTTCGACGCCCTCTGGAGGTTCGGCGAGCTGCTCTGCCGTTGCGCGGTTAATCGGGATCACGGTCGAGGAACCGGGTGGACGAGTGTAGTCTTGGTAGGAAGCTTTGAGGTGTTCTTGGAGTTGGAAAGGAGAGTCGAGCTATGAGCCGAGCAATAGTTAGCCCTCGAATCTATAACGAGAGATTTGAACCGGCAACACACTTGTGAGAGCGGAACCAGCGGTGGCCCGGAGGCCATATCTGCGGCCTTGGTGCCCGGGCGAATTCGCCGCGTAGAAGCGTCATCTTGCGCAGGTGATGCCGCAAGGGGACTATCGCTCACGGTGGGAGATTTTGGCCCAATCTGCACTTCGGTGAAGGGAGGTGGACTGGGCAGACGCGGAGAGCTTGAGGGAGAAGCTCCTAACGCCGTCATTATGGATTCTCATGAAGCAGTTCAAAAAGTTCCGAATGCCCAGTGACGCTGCCTCCGGATGTCAGATTGCCTAAGGCCGGCAGAGTGTGTGGTTGGTTGAGCTTGGGGAAGTGATTGCACAGTTGCACAGGTCGATATTAATATAACGGATATGCAGTTTCTCCATATTATGCCCCGAGAGGATGTATGGAGAATGAGTTTAACCAGCGGTTAATTAAGGTAACTAACTAGTAAACTTTTGGAGTAACTAGTTAACTAGTTAACTTAGTTAGTTAGTTTAACTAGCGGGTTAACTAAGTTAAGTTAATTCTTATGTCAGCGCCAAGTTTTGCTACCGTTGCGCTGAGGGAAGAGGTGCAGCCAGCGTTAGGATTTATCTCCCCACGGAGCGCAGAAGCGGAATAATTTATAACGTGATAATAGTCTTGTGTTGGCTGGTTTGGACTGCTCTGCTGAAATGGATATCAATGAACTTGATGAAGATGGCCCTCCGGAGCTGGTTTCCATCGAACCCAATACATCGGAGCGTCCAAAATCCCCAACAGATCTCAATCTTCCACGGGTCCCAATTACTATTGTAACAGGTACTCAATTGCCGTTATGCCATTAATTTTGTTTTTATTCAAGCCACGAAGCCGCTTTACGGAGGATTATGCTAAAGGATGACATGCAGGCTACCTGGGTGCTGGAAAAACCACGCTCTTAAACTATATCCTGAATGAGAGGCACGGGAAGAAGATTGCTGTCATATTAAATGGCTCGTACATTCCTTCCTAGGGATATCCCCTGATACAACCCGGCTCTATGCTAACGGGTTGAATGTAGAGTTCGGGGATTGTATGTTTTCGGGCTGCGAATTCACTTCACCATTCCTGACCCTTCTTTAGCTGCTGATATTGAGAAGTCCCTAACTGTCAATCAAGAGGGCCAGCAAGTCGAAGAATGGCTTGAGTTGCCAAACGGCTGTTTATGCTGCTCAGTGAGGTCAGTCTGCCATGGTTGTTATTCTAACTAATTCAAAAATCTCACGTGTTTCCGTAGAGACACCGGCGTCATCGCCATCGAATCCCTTATGAGCCGGCGTGGTAGCTTTGACTATATACTGTTAGAGACCACCGGGCTTGCCGATCCAGGGAATATAGCTCCCTTGTTTTGGGTTGATGATGGACTCGGAAGCTCCATTTACCTCGACGGCATTGTCACCTTGGTAGATGCAAAGAATATATGCCATCTTCTTGACCAGCCGGCTCCTCAAGAAGTTCAAGAGAACCGAGGTGGTGCAGTTCTAACTACCGCACATTTACAAATTTCACATGCCGATGTGGTGATCTTGAACAAGAGTGACCTTGTTACGGCTGAGGAGCTGGAGCACGTTAAAAGGCGCATTAGAGGGATCAATGGCTTAGCGACAATCCATGTCACTGACCATAGCAAAGTACCACAAATTGAAGGAGCACTCCTGGAACTTCATGCCTATGATAAGCTCGCGAATTTTGACTTTAGTGAGAAGGGCCAGAGCCAGCTTGACCCCGTATGCGTTCCGTCCCCTCGCGCTGTTAATCGCATTCCATATTTTTCCTAACCTGCAGTTCTAGACCATCTCCACCATTTCATTCGCAGTACCAGATTTACCGCAGTCGAAACTTCCCCTTGTCGATGAGTGGCTGCGTTCTGTACTATGGGAGCGCCAACTCCCGCTGTCGTCGTCTCATAAGCCTCAAGAGGACGGCTCTCTAGACTTCGACCCCCATCGCCTCAAAGCAATTATTCGCCTTACCAACGGCAATATTAAAATTGTGCAGGGTGTTCGAGACATATTTGAGATCACAGAATCCGAAAAACAAGACCCTTCTTGTGTGGTAGCGTCCAAGTTCGTTTTAATCGGTAGGGGACTAGGAAAGGATCCATCTGTGTGGCAGGAAAGTTTGCTTGGCATGCTTGGAGATGTTAAAAATATCGTTTCGAAAGTCAGAGAATAAGGCCTCTCATTTTGTTTAAAAAAGTATTCTGTGACGTTTGGCTGTCTGCATAGATCACACGCTGGCAAGAGACAGCAATGATATCCCGCTGGATGGTATGCCCTATTCCGTTCCTCTCTCAAGACAGCTTCAGGAAAATAGACCTACAAATGTGACAAACAGTGAAGATAATGATGATGATGACCTATATAATATAACCTGGATATTATCATAACATTGAAGTTGGAGAACGGCGGAAGTTTTCCGGCTCTTGGCGTACGGCGGAACTATGTGCCAAGAGCGGAACTGCCAAATGTTCTCTAGCGAAGCTTTGGAGTGTGGCGCGAATATCATATAAAATTTATTATAACTACCTACTATATGGATTACTTTTAACACTAAGTCATAAATATGTAAAACGCAATCATTATTTTCATCACATGTACATCGTTCTCCTTAGAGAAGGCGAATTCTCTGCGTCAAGGTGGGAATAACTGTCGCCCTGGCAAACTTCCATATCTGATATCTCAGCCGCGTTATCATCCGCATATACCGGCACATGCACGACGGGAGAACCGACCGGGCTTGTAGCAATCTTCGGCCGACTCTTAAACACACTGGCATAATCCGCATCTTCGCTGAATAGCTCATCTCTTGGAGTAGTAGCACCCGATCTTTGGCCTTGCTTTTGTCTCTGTTTATTGTCAGGGGTCTCGAACTGGTTGATGGGAAAAGATTGCGAATGCCTTGAAACTCTAGATTTCCCTAAGGACTGCCGGGGACGGGCTTCCGGAACTGAAAGTCGGGACATTGATAGTCGAGTACGTTCAACCAGAGTGAAGCCAATATGGTTTGCTCGTTCAGATATGTCGTGCGTATGATCGTGTGGGTTTGGTTCTTGAGATTGGTAGCTCTGGGAAGCGGCCGCTTCAGCTATTTGTGCAGGTGACATCTCCATAGGAGGGCTAGCATTTTGCATCGAGACATCCCTAGACAGACCGACTGATTTTGATCCTACTGAGGGTTCCATTTCTCTGAGTCGGGTAGGCAATTGCAGGCTAGGAGCTTGATCGGACTTATAAGCCATCGCTCGCTCTTCTTCACCATCGTGAACTCTTTCTTCCTCTCTATCTTGGTGTATGGGGCTCTCCACCTTCCACCGTCTATCTGGTAGCTTAGCGCCTAATTTAAATTTGGCAAGCGACTCATGGAAATCTGCCAACAGAGTCTTATAATCCGGATTTTGGGCATTTGGGTTCTGAGCCACTTGACCTATCTGTGCAAGAGACGCCACTGTTAATTTTTGATGATCCCGGAACGCCAACACGCGATTTTGGCTGTGCGCTTCCGTCCTTGTAGCATCTGGTTCATCCTCCGTCAACGTCCGTCTAAATTCTCGCCATTTTTGTAACTTTGATTTCTGCTGCGCAATGCGTTTGTCTAAGTCTGCGAGAAGATCGGAAGACCGTCGTGATCGTACAGAATCCAAACCGTCAGTCTTCGCTACCAAGCGTAATCGAGAGAAGTCCAGTTCTAGAAGAGGGTCCAAATCCACCTGCAACCCACCATCCAAAATGGCCTTTGCCCAGTCTCCACTGCCGTACCATGCAGAAATAATATTGCGTCGTGTATGCTCCACTTTATCGGCAGCGAGCAAGGACCTTGCTCCTGAGGGAGAGCGCTTCGAAAGCTCGTCTGCTTTGGCGTGGAGATGTTGGTTGAGATTTGCGTAGAAGCAGCCAAGACTCTTCCTTTCGTTAATAGTAGAGCTAAGGGAGGAGCGGTAGGCAAGGATCAACGGGAGTATGTTGCTTTGGTCGCATGCCGTTAACTGTTGAGCAGTGGCTAGATCGATAGCAATGCTTCGAGCTTGGCTCGGGAGGAGAGATTTGCGCAAAACGGCTGTGGAGAAAGAAGCCAAAATTTCTTCAAATCTTTCGCTTTTGCAGTCGTCTAGCATGGTCTTCCGGAGAATCGCTTCTCGCCCCAGAACGCCATTCTTCTTTAAATCCGAGAGCATGCGGAAGAGCGCAGCTCTTAGGTTGACAGACTGCAGCGGCTCAAGGGGCGGAAAAAAGGGTTGTAGCTTCTACAGAACTGTCATTACTCTTGCTTCCATCATCCGTAAGGATTCAGTGCCTCTGCGCGAAGAGGTAGCATACAGTATGTGTCTCATTCTTGTCCCATATCAGAAACAGGTGATAGAGAGACCATTCCACGGCCTGAATTCTTCGACGAAGGTTATTCTGCGATCCGGAGAGAGTTTCTAGGGTAATATTAGGCCAGCCAGAGCGGGTGTCTAATCGAAGGAGCTTCAAGTTGCGGAGGAATATAGTGAGAGGTGCGGGACCGGGCCATGTTTCTACCCTTTGTTTGGTAGGTGAACGGGCGGAGGAGCGCTGCATTGAGCCGGATGCATGTTCTTTCCCCCAGAGTGTTATCTTAGAAGGTACCAAAACTGCTCGTCTCTAGGAGACAGCTTGCATTCTCGGTCAATAGGGAGGTGGTAGTTGTGTGTTGATAGTCAATTGGCTGCGTCAATCGGCTGGTCGCAGCGTTTGTTTGCTCTGTTTGCTTCCGCCGTCTTTGCTCTTCCTTGTTGGTCGCTTGCGCAAACCCGCTCAACGTACCAGGTTTGTTCTATGGGGATGGATATGTTTCTACTCTCCACGACTTATGTATATAAATAGATGCTGCTGTTTTCTGTATAAACTTATTTTTTATCTGTAATTCTTTCCGGACTCTCCCTCTTACACTCCAAAATCATGGGTTCTCAACCGACAAACGAGACGTCATGGTCGGCACAAGCAGGTGAAGGGTTTTTGGGAACTTGAAATATGATACGCATTCTGCTAACCAGGTCTATATCCTCAGTCATCTCCAGCCTCCCTCACCCCCCGCTTGAAAATGGCTCCTCCCCTGTACCATTTTTCCACCTCCTAGAGCGCCTTAAGACAACGAAACGGGAAGGCTGGCGCCGATTTGATATTAACCATGGCGAATCTATCTCGGACCATATGTATCGCATGGCAATAATGACCATGCTCGCACCGCCATCTCTTGCTCGGAAGCTCAACATACCACACTGCACGAAAATGGCGCTGATTCACGATATGGCCGAGTCGGTGGTCGGAGACATAACGCCGGTTGATACCGAGGTGACAAAGGCCGAGAAAGCGCGGCGAGAGGCTGAGGTCATGGAATATATTTCTAAAACGCTGCTGGGCGGGGTGTATGGCGGTTCAGCGGGAGAGAAAATGCAGGCGATTTTCCAGGAATATGAAGATAACGAGACCCTGGAAGCGAAATTCGTTCACGATATCGACAAGATGGAATTACTGCTGCAAGCGATAGAATATGAACGGACGCATGGTGGCAAGATCCAATTAACCGAGTTCTATGGCGTTATGAAGCGCATCCAACTTCCGGAGGTGAAAGAATGGGCGGAAGCGGTGATGAAAGAACGTGAAGCGTTCTGGGCGGACAAAGGCGGCGCACCGCCCCTCCAATGATCTTGACGAGTTTCCTTTTCATTTTTGACCTACGATTGGATGAGAGGATGACAAAATGATAGAAGTCATTCCTGTGCGTTTTGGCGGCGAATGAAATCGGGTTGGTGTTAATGGTCAATTTGGTAGAGTGGGAAGCAGGCCCCGATGGCCATCTAATTTTCTCTTTTTCAGCACGACTCTGTTTGTCATGGCTCATTAATAGATTTCTTTCGTCAAAAGCTGAAGTTAGACGATATTCTGTCTGTACCCTTCTATGTAGATATGGAGCCTCGTTCAGCCATAAGAATGTCGTCAAATATTTTTCCGGAAATCAGCTCCAGGGATCGGCCAGATCACCGTCTCGCAGCACCCAGCCATATGGTAGTTTGTAGTCCGTTCTACTTGCAAATCTTCAATCTAATGGCTCTTTCTCCATCTCTTTGGCCAACATCTCCGCTTCTTCTCTCATTTCCTCATCGCTCCTCGGCATTCTACTGTCATTATCGACAGCCGGAAATTTCGTACGACTTCTGCCTTCCATCTTTTGCCACATGTGTTTTGCAATGTCGCCCTCGTCTCCATCTAGCATCCCGTAGATGGCATCCGAGCCGCCTTTATGATCCAAATCTCCTCTTCGCCGTGGAATTATGTGGGCGTGGACATGCGGGACGCTTTGACCCGCGTCCACACCATCCTGGATGGCGATATTAAGACTTGAAGATTTGAAGACACGTTCGACCATTCGGCCTACGCGGCGCACTGTGATGAAGAGGTCGGCAATTTCGTCAGGGGTGAGGTCGGAGACGCGGGGAACATTGCGAATGGGAGAGACGAGGACGTGGCCAGGGAGTAGAGGTTTGAGATTCACAAGCGCAAAGCTCAGTGATGTCATAAAGAAGACCTGTTGGAAAATGCGTGGATCGGTATCAAGGTTAGACGCCATTCTCTGACTTGATGCTCGAGGACCAAGGGGAAACGTTGTTGCGAGATGCATGTAACTACGCGGGATCGAGTGAGAAGAACTTACCTGTGATGTCACTAAGAAAGGCCCGAAATATACGGGCTTTTTGGGTATTAGGGCCATGGCTATAGAGGATTCTGAGGATTGGAGTGTCATCTGCACGGAGGGTTGGGAATTCAATTCCGGAGGGGGGCTCCTTTTTGGCAGAGCGATCATGCCGAGACTTTGGGGACCTTGAAAATAACTCAACTACGGAGTACTCTGTCCAAGCGTCACCGACGATGATACATAAAACATTTCACTGGTACTCCGTACATATTTTGTATCGAGTAGTTACTTCATATTCTCTTCTTATGGTTCTTAATAACTCCTCCAGGAAGTAACACACTGACAATCCACACTGTAGCTACAAGAACTCGCCGCTGTTGCTCACAGAAAATGGCCCCGCAAGGCTTTATCCTATACAAGTGCATGGGATGTTCCCCAGCTACAGATTAAATTCTGCTATCCATGGCAGGAGAGATCAAACGCTTTCTATGTCACTCAGCTCTTCGGACGTATCGTTATCTAGGGCTATTGGCACCTCCCTACTTCCCTCAACTTTTCGGGGTTGTGCTTGAATGCCGAGCTGGTCATGCTCCGGTTCATCTTCTCCGGGGACCAAGAAGCCGCCCCCTTCGTGATAGTCTGCCTCATCTCTGTCGACAGGCTGTACGTCAGATGGTATAATGTTCCTCTGGTTGACAAAGGGATTCTGGGATTCCATCTCTATGGTATCCCCGTACTCTTCTTGTATTCGCTCGGATATTCGAAGGCCCATAATAAACTTCCTCCAAGTTGTAAGAATCAACTTTTCTTGCTTCAATCTCTCCCTCTCTCGTCTCTGAGCATCTTCAGCCCGCCAGGCATCTTTGACAAGATCTTCATTCTCAGCAGCTACAACCACTCCTTGAATAATGGGAACCGCCATCTTGCTGCTAAACTCGAAACCGATAACAGCTTCTGCGTAGTCCACACGGAGCTTCTTGCAAACCCGAACAGTAGCTGGCCACGGGATGTGCACGGCGCCTTTCGGGACCATCCAAGGGGTAAAGCAGTCTATGTTACCGTATTCATTTTTCGGAATTATTCCATCTTGTATCGGGTCCGGAATTATGTACTCCGTTTGATGGAGCGCATAGAGACCCTGCTTCGGTTTCTCACCAGTCTCCCGTTCCATCCTGTCAACCTCAAGCTTTCTATTCCGTGTAACCGCTCGGATTGGGACCAGTTTTAACGGCAACTCGCCAAGCTTAATCCGTCGTCCCTCCTTATGCCAGCTCTCCGCGGATAAACACTTCTGGACATCTGATCTCCGGTAGACTTTCTCCTCCTTTTGTTTAGCGCCCTTCCCAGAAATGAACATCCTCACATGACTTGCTCCCGGGCGAAGTGCTTCTTCCCGACGCAAAAATCTTTCCAGCACAAAGTCTTTAGACGCCTTAAGGCTTTGCAGGGTATCTCCTTCTTTCGGTGCTTTCTTCTCTGGCTGTTTAGCCACCAGACTTAGATCCTCTTTCTCATCAACTGTCGTTCTCTTATCCCTTGGACGAATATATCCCCTCATCGTAGCTTTAAACCAGTCGTAGACGTAAGGTCCTGTACTCAGTTCGATTTCAACGGGCTTTTCAACCGGTATCCGGAAGCCCTTGGTCTTTCCGGGCCAAGTTTGCCGTCTAAGGTACCGAATAGTAACATCCTTTGCGGTTGCATCAGGAGAGTACGCGACGACGTATGCAATAACCTGCTTCGCTTTCTCAGCTTTCGCTCCTCTCGGCTCAAACGCTGCCAGGAGCTCCGGAGTCATCGCAACGGAATTAGGCAAAATTAACGACTCCACTGGAATGATTTCTTGGGTAACAGGAGATTCTACTTCAGACCAATATGTGGGAAACGGGGAGTCCCCATCAGCTAGTTGCTGCCTTTTGTTGGAGATTTTAGACTTCCCCTTGGGTCTGGGTGGTAATTCCTCATCTAGAGAACTTTCTTCGCTTTCCACAGGACTGTTTGGTGCTGTTTCATCTGCACTTGCGTACTTTTCGATCTTTGCCCACCCGAAGCCGATGGGTTGCAGGCTTGCAACGAGTCTCGTTTCGAGGCCCAACGCTCTCAGAAGCGCCGTGAACAACTGGGAGCCTACATCGCGAGATCCGTATAAACGACGAGCATGTTCGCGGAACTCATTGAGATCCTGAATCTTCTCACCAAATCGATTCTCGTCTTCCTCGCCTCTGTTAAACGCCCTTAGTTCCTCTTCCAACACCGATGCGGGTCTGTAGCCCCGTTTGTGCAGTCCAGGAGACGTAATTTTGAAATGCTTCTTCCAATAGGCAGCCAAAACTTTTAGCAAGTGAATAGTCGGGTCTCCTCTACTAAGGTCAGGCCGGTTGGGCTCGACGTAACTCGAATCTTCAGTCCAATCACGATCTCGCTTTCTCTTTTTCGACGACTCCTTTGGCGTGGGCTTTGGAGTTTCCAGGCCAGCTGCTATCCTCCATCTCTGGATTTCCTTCTTGATACCTTCTGGTAGTTTCTCGCGTAATATTTCATGAATCTCGGGATCATTTATCCACCAATTCCGAATAGCGTTATGAAATAGGAGAAATTGAACATGCATACAGTGTGTTTGGATGCGGATGAATCGTTCAATCTTACTGGGTCCCTTCTTGCCTCCAAGTGGCTCGGTCAGTGAAACATGGTTCTTTTGTATGGTGATGTCCAAATCTCGCAGCTCCGGGGTGGGAGCTGCATTAGAACCAGATGGGGCTCCGAGGACGTCTTCCCAGTTCACCTCTTCATCATCGTCATCGTCATCCACACCGGCGCTGTTAGCGCTATTCTCCAGGTCCGAACTGGATAGAGAACTTAATGATGACGAGTCAGACTCTAAAGAAATCTTTTGGGCTTTGAGTTTTTCCAGTGTAGCCGATTTTGGAGGTGTATCGAGAGCTTCTAGCAGGCCGCGCTTTGAAGGAGTATCCTGAGTGGAATGATCCTTGCGCGGCACAAAAGGAGGCATTTGATTCGCCAATCAGGTCAAATAGCGCTTCTTATTTCGGAGCTCGTTGCATGGGCTTTGTTGACAAAATGGCACTGTGCTGCGTATCAAAATCGGCTCGCGATTCAACTCTGGTGGATTGAAACGGCTGGGTGGAACCAACTTTTTTCTTCTTTCACCTTGAGCCGAAATGCACATGTAAATTATCCTGGTAAGTGTCCCAAAACAAGAAGAATATGGTGGATCTTGGACATGTCTCGGGTTAGAAGACACTTGAGGGACTGGAATTTAATAGCTATATAACCAACTTCTTGCGCGGAACGTTCTCCTCTGCTAGGGCGAACTCTTCCAACCGGCGAGCCGCGTTCGCACGTGGTAGCCAACACATGATTGGCTGGAGCAGTCGGCTCGCCAACCACACGGCCAACACCAAGCACCTCTTTTTCCTCTATCAAGATCAAGATCTCGACTTTGGGAGACATGGGCTGTTTAGCCATATAAAATTCGCCTTGATCTCCTAGAAAATTCGAAGAACAGCTTACCTAAATAGCTGTGTTAAGCATAGCCTAAATTGCAAATGAAAATCACGCTGCAACCCCCCTGTAAACCATCGAGATCCATTCACTCGCTCATCATATATTAGCTACACGCGTTGCAGACGCCGGTAAAAAGCAATCAAGTCGCTGTTGGCGGGTCAATCTGCAAGTAGCAAAGATCATAGCATTGCTATCTGCCTAGACAGCTGATACATCAGACTCAGCGAATGAACAAATCAGTAAATTACAGCTCTGACATGGAAGCACAGAAAATAGAGGCAGTGAGACAACATTGCATAGAATGAAAAAAACAATGATGCCCGTAAGGGGTCCCTGGGAACCCGGAGGAGGGAAAAAAAGGAGTCGACATATCGTAACAGCGGTGTTTTCACTGGCGAACGAAGAGCACAATATAGCTTATCATCGTTGGCAGTATGCAACTCTCCTTCGGCATGGAAAATGGTATCAAATGAACACAGAGGCCGTATCATCGTTAGAAGAAAGAAGGCTTATCGACGAGCACAACAGCTCTGGGCAATGCATAAATAGGAATACTCGATAACAATAAGACGCTCAAATGAACCGAAATGAACAGCGGGAATCGAGGTTAAAAAAAAAAAAAAAAAAAATCATTCGTAGTCATCAACGTCCATCGTCTCGTCAATTTCAATTTTCGTCCCCAGCGCTTCTTTTCCTTCCCGGATCATAGCTTTTAGTTGTTGGTTTAGTCGACGAATGCTTGCGTCTTCCTCCTTTTCCCTGCGACGGATCTTCGCGGCATATCGCTGGGCCTCGAGAGCGAGAGGGCTCTCCTTCGGTGTTCTTGAAGGGTTACTGGGAGCTGGAGAGCTGGGTGAAAAAGTGGAAGAGTACTGGTATTTCTGGGCCAGTGAGGAGGATGGTCTGACCGGAATCAAACTAGGCTTCTTTGGTGTAGATTTGGCACCTTGCCTTCGCAAACCACCGTGGTGTGTCAAACTACCTCGACGATTAACCCTGCGGGGCAAAGATGACGGAGTGGTTTCGCCGAAACGTTTCTCGGTCTTAACCAGCACCCAATCGCTGTCTGGGTGGGGTCTATCGATGGAAGCGGGGTCATTGGATATCAAAGGTTTTGGGGTCAGCGGGCTTTCAAGCTGATTTAGCTTCTCCCAGGCACTTTGATCGAGAGACGGCGTGACCCCCGCAGTCACTGCTGGGGCATCCATATCGTAGCCTCTCCCTCCGCCAGCATAGAAACCACGGAATGCACCAGACCAACAGAAGTCCCAGACTTTTCCTGCGACTCCTCCAACCAGGTTCATCACGGCTCTTCCCCAGCCAAACGATGTCGATACAGATGAATCATCAATTTCTTCTGTGTCATTGCCAGCCGAGGTCGGCCTTTCTCGTTTCCTCTTATTCCCTTCACCTGTTGTTAGCGGATACGTAGAGTATCGACTAGGTCTATAGTCTAGCTCCGCTCCATTATCTTCAAGCTCCAGTGCCGTTCCAGCAGATGCAAGGGGCACTTTGTGTGCTTCCAAACCCCCGCCAGCTAATCTGTAGTCGGTATTCGCAAGCGGAGCAGGGCTGGTCGGATCAGTAAACTGAGTTGAGAGGTCTCCTCCCCATGCGAGACTGCTTGATGTATGATGGCTATCGAAGTCATTATAGCCGTATCTTGCACGCTTGCGACTGTTTGGGTGACCTGAAGACGTTACCGAACGACTGAGGGACGATGTCGCGGATGGAGTTCGAGGAGAGCGATAGAACTGTGACCGTGCACCAGTGAGGTCGAGCTTCGGGGGGACAGGGCTATCGAGGAAGAAATCACCAGCCATGGGTGATTCCAAAGGCGTCATGCTTTTGTTTTGAAAGTTTCACTTAGTTGTTGCCGGTGATCATGCCGAGAAGATATTTCATCAGATGGCTGGAAACCAGATGGCGGTACGGATGGGAAAGTGGGATAACCCTCTTGTTTATTTACCAGGCAAACAACAACAACTACAACAACAAGATGCTTCTGGTCAGTAAATTTTTGATATTCCTGGCCAGAACATGGTTGGGAAATGCAAGTTGATGTGTTGGTTTGCTGTTGTTTGACAGCCTCGTCTGAAAAAAATTGTTAGAGGTGTTGGGGCCATCTTAGCAACCCCAATTCCTCGCCCTGTTTTGCTTTAGTTGGATGGCTGGTAGCTCCAACCACCATGTGAAGAAGCAGTTTTCCGCCTGAATCACGCATCGCTCACTCACACTGAAAAATTCTACAGCAATATGCACTAGTGGGAGAATAAAAATATTCATATCCCGTATGGTTTTCTTCATACTAACAATTTCTGCTAAGCAGACCATTACAGCTTCTGGAGTGTCCAGTCTCTGCCCGCAGCCTCCAAGCCGTCCTCACCATCCACCAACACACACCATCCCTCACCTCCATTCCCACCCTCACCCCCAATCGCCGCCTTGAAGTTCTTCTTCGCATACTCGAGGATTTCATCATCAAAGGTCCCTGGTTGCAGCCACACAGCAGGAATATTTAGGGCATGCGCCTCCTTCAAAATCTCCCGGGTCACTTTTGGCGGGGTAACTATTGATAGTGACGTTTGTGTTGGAGAGGAGAGCTCGGATGGTGATTTCACAGTGGCATAGGACTTTGAGCGCAGCTGGATTTCGGGAGCCTTGGGGTTGAGCGGGGTTACTGGCAGTGAGTGCTGGTGGTACCAGGCGAGCACTGATCAACGGCTTATTAGCAACTACTATAGATGAAATCGTTGCCACGTAGACATTGTGGGAAGATATGTGCGCGCGCGAAGGACTCTTACGTTTGTAGCCAAACTTGCTCGCATCAGTGCTTGCACCCGCCACGGCGAAGCGCGGGGATGAGAAGAAGTGTTTGACAGCGAGTTCCATATCTTCCGAAGACATCGCGCCTTAAGTATATTTTGTATGATTGAATAGAGCTCGGTCTCGTATATATAAAACAGGATTCACTCTCTATCTGGCGCTCCGCGGATAAAGTGTTATTTACGTTCGACCAAGCGGAAAATCGAGGATGACGAAAGTTCCGCTCTGATTCCACACCTCCCGAGGTTGATCCCGGCTCCTCGACCATGGCAACCCTGTACGCCGTCCCAACACCCCTAACCTAACCGGTGAACGGGGTCTGGAATACATTCGCAGGACATTCTCTTATGAGGACGTAACCTGCGCGACTTTCTGACGAGAAAGCCAGTTTCAGTACAGCGTAGCCGTCCTATCTCGATCCCTATTCAGGAGCCCGCAATCCCCTCCCAGAGCCAGAGTCGCCGGACGTCCCGGAAATATCCCGCCTGAATATTGGGTTCTTGGGGTTCAAAGTCCAGCATTGCAAGACTAATGCAATAAGCCTCTGTGGTCTAGTTGGTCATGACGCCGGTCTCATATTCACTTTATGACGAGTGGTTAACTGCTTGATATCCGGAGGTCGCCAGTTCGATCCTGGCCGGGGGCACTTCTCATGAAGTTACTTTATTCTTTTGGGCAATTTTTAATTTTTTTACTTTTTTAAGTCAACTCAGACATCCCCCACTTGCATTACGGGGTACACATCTGAGAGATCCATCTCTGCGGCACTTTGACATTCGACGATTATTATACCTATTTCCAAGAAAGTCAATTGTGCAGTGAAAGGCCGCCATGGAAAGAAGTCATCTTTCGCAAAGAGTAAGATAATACACTATATGTGCACCGGATACGACTATTTATGCGCTTAATATCCGTAATAATTAATCAGATCCGACCCATGGACCTCCTTCAGCCGCTTATTCTCCCTCTTCAACAAATATCTCATCCACCAAGCACAAAATATCGAACACAAAGCGAAGGCGGCCGACGAACTGAACCCGATCACATATCGGGGAGAATCATAGTCGGGCCACACGTACGCGCCGTAAATGTAGCCAATTTGCCCACCGATGTTTGTCATAGCGAGAATCACCTAGTCATGGTCAATCAGTGTAAAAAAGAGGATAATAACTGGGAGAGACAGAAGTCAGGAAACATACAGCTCGCTTTTCTCTTGTCTGTGATAGTGTGGATGATGCCCACCCGATTATCACCGAATTTACGGAATATGCTCCAATCGGGAAGATAAAGCACGCGATATACCGCCCGGCAGTGTTAAGTGTACATGCTGCGATCACGAACCCGACAATCGCGGTCGTGAGGCCCACGGTGATGTGCCAAGTGCGTTCATGGAACCGACCAGAGCTGTATCCGAAAAGAATTCCAACTATACCAGCAAAGATGAAGGGAGGGCATGTGAGGAGCAATGTGATCGTCGTATTGAAGCCAATTGTTTTAACAACACTGCCAGAACTATCAGCATGAGGTGCATATTCCACGTCATCTGTAGAAAACATACGTGGGGAAGAAGCTGTTGAAACCACACGCCGATAAATGGAAGTTTTGCATTAGGCAAAAAATCCAGGTCCGTTTGTCCCTGCAGGCCTGTCGGAGGCCTTCCATTGCTGATGCCTGCTCTGGTTCACCCATCTTATCCATTTCAATTCTCGCATGGGCGAGTTCGCGTTCTTCCGGTTTTAGCCAACGAGTCGTACTGGGAGTATTTGGTAATAACCAGAATCCAGCGAAAGCCACAACGGCTGTCACACAACCTTCAATGATAAAAAGCCTGTCGCAATGTCCCATTTAGTTACGGCTTGTGCAGCATGCGGGTCAGTTGTTGCGCGTTCATACCATCTCCATCCAGAAATCCCCCTTACATCGTCAAGGCCATAGAATACCCCGGCGGCAATGAGACCAGACACTCCTGTGGCCAGAATCTGTGCAGCGTACAAGACTGCAATACGTGCTGCAACCTCTATTCAACAAGTGTGCCATTCAGCATCATCACAAGAATCAAAAAACGACATAGGGTCATACCTTTCCGCGTATAAAATATGGACAGTATATATGTAGCTCCAGGATAAAACTTTGGGCTCTTCAGTTAAATCCAAGTTTCTACACATTAGAGTTACTCACAGGCGCTTCTGTGATCCCAAGGAGGAATCGGCATACCACCATCCCGGCATATGACTGAACCAGGGCAGTACATGCTGTTTTGAGAACGATCGTCAGACACGATACATATTTTATGCTAGAAGTACATAAAAACAAAAGGCTCTCGCACCTGAAACAGTGGCCCAGATAACCATCCAGGTGCTCATGTAGATACTTGGTGGTACCCTCGTGATCAACATATTGCTTGGAACTTGAGTTAAAATATAGCCAACGAAGAGGATGGAAACCGTGGTGTTGAACTGGGTGCCATGCATCCCCAGATCCTTTTCTAATCCATTCAGCCGAGCTTGGGCAATAGTGTTCCTATCAACGTAGTTGAGAAAGTACATGGCAAACAGTGTTGGCTATGCCAATGATCAGCAAAGTTGAACTCTGTACGAAGGATGTAAGAGGTGGTCGAGAATGAGAAGCACATCATAAGAAACGCCATGTTCACCATTATGCGGAAATCGAGCTTCTTGACAAGGTTGATCTCCTTGGGGTCAGTCTTTGCTGTGGCACCAGCATAGTCGCGGCCTGCCTGTTGGGCGAGTTCTTTTTCATACAAGACCGGCTCTTCCGCGGTTTCGACACGATCAAGGACGGTGGGAGTCTCTCCCAGCTGCTTTTCGCCACTAGTTCCCATAATCAAGAGCAGCTCAATGGGCAACTAAAGCAGCAACTGATAATTCTCACTCTTTGAAAGCTTTAGCCTAAATGGATACGGCTAAAAAGAGCTGCGCACTGGAGATTCTTCAAGGAGCAGAGCTCTGAATGGCGCTTCGCGCTGGTTTCACGGGCAATTTAACTAAACGGAGTAATAGCGGAGAGGCAATTTTTCCGCGGTGTTGGTTTAAGAGCTTCACCATGGAGGGCCACAGGCGGAAACGTGCAAATGGACAGTACCAGCATAGCGCCCATCTTCTGTGTTCATTCGTTGTCAATCCGGCATTGATCGACGTCCAACTCCATGTCGACTGGGATTCGCGAACCGTCCCTCTGACTTGGCTCAAGGTTCAAGGCCCCCAAGAAAGCGTGGAATGGCCACACTGCCTTGATGTGCATGCATATCTTGGTAAAGCGGGGAAGCTGTACGGAGTCCCTAGAGCTCAAGTTGTCTTTTGGACAGGTCTTGATCCAAATGCGGCGCTTATTTCGACGGTGACTTCGCATTCGAGCGACGAGTGTATATTATTCACCTTGTAGAGCTATCTTCTATGGCCCAGTTTCCATGCTGCCGTGAAAGTGACGATGAAGAAGCTACGTTGCAACGGCTATCAATTTTCGTAGTTGGTTAAAATGTCAGCTCTTGCTGCTGTTTGCACGGACTCCCGGTTCCCCACACCGTGCAATCAGCCGGGAACAGCGTTCGGCGCCAGCCCACCATCACCCGCTCGTCCACTACAGACCTCGTGGATCACCTCCGAAGACTGCATGGGACTCGTCATGCGTAGGTAACATCGCTCAGCGAAGTCGGCTCTCGAACCCTCCATCATCAAATTACTCAATGTTGTCCATCTCAGGCCGGACTCGCGACCGCGCTGCTCCTATTTTAGAATAACCAACTTCCCGCCCCTATCCGACCCCGGCGTTAAGCCAAGATGACCGTCACGCACCCCATTCCGCCGGAATCACTTCCCTCCCTGCCACTCTTTCTTGAGGCCAGAAAGCAGGCGTGGAGTGACTGCAGTAAAGTTGCGATCATTGATCAATCCAAAAATGAGAGCTTTACATATGGCCAGTTGCTTGTCGACGTCTCTTGCTTGAAGCAACGGATCCTGGACACTCTATCATTAAAGGACCTAGATGAGAGACGAATCGCGTTCCTGATTCCATCTGGATATGACTATGTCGTATGTCAGTGGGCAGTATGGGCCGCTGGCGGCATCTGTGTCCCACTGTGTAGGTCCCTATCATGACCAGCTGCTCGAACCTTGGAAGTAATGAAATATCTAATTAAGATACATAGGCGTGACTCATCCTGTGAAGGAGCTACTCTACACAATTTCCGACTCTAACCCACGCTTGGTGATATTGCACGATTCCTTTGGCCATAGGAAAGATGCACTGGCAGAAAGCTGCTCAAATGTCACCTTTTTGGATCTGGCCCCATTGGCTTCGACCACGCCAGAGACCATAGTGCTTCCGCCATTCCATCCACCGTTTGACTTGTCCAGACGTGCGTTGATGATTTACACCTCCGGGACCACGGCGAACCCAAAAGGATGTATCACAACCCACAAAAATGTTATGTTCCAATCCAATTGTTTGATCGAGGCGTGGAAATATACTTCCTCGGACCACCTCATACATGTTCTTCCATTGCACCATATTCATGGCATTGTCAATGGCCTCGTCGCCATGTTACTCAGCGGCGCTACGGTGGAAATGTACCCTCGCTTCGACCCCGCAATTATTTGGGAAAGATGGTCTAGCAGGGGCTCTTCAACCATGTTCATGGCCGTTCCAACTGTTTATTCGAAGCTGGTGGATTATTTTGATGCACATATCAGGTCCACAGGTTTGGAAGCCACGGCTAGAGCAGGCGCAAATTCATTGCGCTTGGTGGTAAGCGGTTCTGCCGCCCTGCCAACCCCGATCAAAACCAAATTTTTCGAAATTACTGGCCAAACGTTGCTAGAACGGTATGGAATGACAGAAATTGGAATGGGGCTAAGCTGCGGTCTGGAAGTGGACAAGAGAATTGACGGAAGTGTTGGTTGGCCACTACCAGGTGTGGAAGTTCGGCTTACGACCCGAGATACTGGATGTATCATCCCATCGGAATCTGACGAAGACGGAATGATAGAAGTCAAGGGTGATAACGTGTTTTTAGAATATTGGGGGCGGCCTGATGCGACAAAGAAAGAGTTTACGTCCGATGGATGGTTCAAGACCGGCGATGTCGCAAAGAGAAATGAGAACGGTGCTTACTTCATTCAGGGACGCGAGTCCGTGGACATAATCAAGTCTGGAGGCTATAAAATCTCCGCTTTAGAAGTTGAAAGAAAAATGCTGGCCTTAGACGCCATACAGGAAGTTGCGGTTGTTGGGTTGCCCGACGAGGAATGGGGCCAACGTGTCGCTGCCATCGTAAAGCAGAGACAAGGGGTAAGCAGTGAAAAGATGTTCTATGGATCTGCTTCCTTGAAAATGTGCTGACATATTGATAGACACCACAGTTAGAAATACAGTCGCTCCGCGCCGAGCTGAAGAAAGAAATGGCCCACTATAAGGTGCCTACCGTTCTGACGGTCGTGGATGTCATCGAAAGGAACGCTATGGGCAAAGTGAATAAAAAGGATCTTGTTAGAAAATATTGGCCTTGCAATTGATTTACTGTCTCGATGACAGATATTGTACATACATACATAACATACATACAGACAGACATAGATATACCAAGCTTTTTTGTGACGTGTTTCTCATCTGTTAAGTTAGAGTATTGACTTCTGCAGCTCTTCAGGCTAAAGTTTTTGGGATCCATGAATATCAAGGAGTCAACTTTAAAGGCCTGAAGGCTACAAAAAAGGTAAAAAGGACAGAAAAATCTGGAAACTGCAATAAGCAGCGAAGTCACTGCTACTCCTCAGCATCGTCGCCGCCATCCCCCTCCGTCCTCGTCCTCTTCATCCGAGAATTCGGCTGGTGCTATTCACTTTCAAAAGTATCGTTCCGGCGACGAGGGAGCAGGCGGCCAATGGCCTACAGGTTGTTAGCATGGATACGCTGTAAGTGGTCGGACTAACTGGTGCAAGAGCATAGCAACTTCATTGCTTCCACCTTGTGTTTCTTCGGCAGTGAGCGAGATCCTGATGGAACAGAAATATGTGATTATGGTAGAAATATGCCCATTCATTTGTGCATGATATTTTTTGCCTGGAATGTCCTTACAAGAGGAGGCAGACTGCTGCATAGCAGCTATAGTGTTGTAAAGGGCTGGAGGAGTTGCTTCGCGCATCTTATTGTTCCTTTGGCAACAAGAACACAGCCCATGTTAAGTTTGTACAAACAAGCAAAAAGATTTCAGTTTCCCTCTTAACTAGTAACTAGCGGATAGATGGGGGGGGTTTAGTGTGGGTGATCACCCAGGTTGCTGCCTGGTTACTGCCAAGCCGCCAAATAACCTGTTTGGACCAGGGAGGGTGGGAGGTAGATTATATAATCAGTACAGAGTGATCAAGATCACTAATCTTTTCAGCTCCATCTCAATCCATTCTGTATCATACAGGAGCTTCTGCTTCTGATAAATCTATATTAATTAATATACTCTCTGCAACACTGAACAGCATGGTCAGTCTTGTTTCAGTCTCTACTTTAACTCTGGACAGCTGAGGAATGTACCGGAATTCACGTTTGACCTATGCACTACAATGTTGGATGAACCCCATTGAAGATGATTGGGGGATACGGGGTTAAAGAAAGAAGAAAAGTTGACGAATAAACAAATGCCAATTATTTATAAAAGTATCCAACCCAAAAGAATGGAGGTAATAGCATCTATCATACACATTCCAACACTGAAAGAAGGAGAACGTGACTACCAGAAGGAGCCAGCCTGGACAGATTGCTGGAAGGATCAAATCTGTGAAGAATCCATTATTGAGTCGGGTACCAGAATGCTCTGTTGTATCCAATCTTCCACAGCTTTCGATGCTTGGGCTGTATGGCTCCTTGGTGACTCATTCAGGGAAGGTGATTCATTATCAGATTCACCAAGATTAATCCACTCGTGGTTACTTATTCCTCGTTCCCGTGGAGGATATCCATCAGTTCGGAGCCAGCCAAAGATATTTAGTGTAGCATTTTCTGAAGCTGATTCTTCCTCGAGATTCAGAGCTTCATATCTGATGGGCGTATTTATTGCCGGGTGCCGTGCCGGTGAATGGGCAGATATAGTGGTTTTAACGCACAATGGATGTACTAGTTTGCCATTTCGACAAGCCCAATGCCAACCCGCATATTGAAGACCGTGACCAGTACACTGTGCATGTAGACGGACTTCAATTTCAGCATCTTCGAGTGCCGTGGTACCGAAAGGCATCCATGGAGACACCGGCCACCGACTGTGCCGTTCTGCTTGGGTCAGATAGAGAAGTCGGCACTCATCTGATCGTAAAAGCGCCCCATTATTCATTGGCGGTTGGGACACAGGTTCCTGTAAAAACGACTGTGTGACACCACACCAGGATGCAGCATGGAGTTCAATCGGTATAAGGCCAAATCGACCATCCTGGAGGACATTCTTGTGAGTACCCGCAATTATACCACCAAGCCAAAGGAAAGAAACTTGCGGGACTCGGTTCATCAGGATATGAGCAAGTAGATGGTCATCCTCCACAGAGTCAAGAACAGCGAACGTAGATTGCAGCCATGGGCTCACGGCATTGCAAGGTATTCCAGGTTCATAAAATACACTCGACAAAAGAGAGCATAGACCCCGTGTGTTGCAACTCAATGTCAATAGTTTGTCCAGCTCCGGCACTATCTGCTCCAATATAAAACCAAGTGGCTTCTGCTCGGTTGGCTCTGATACGGGTGGCTTTAGCCTTTGCCTCTTATGAGAATCGGGTTTCGGGAGTGATGTTGGGTTTTTCTTTGTATTCAACGAAGGAAGAAACAATGTTGAAGAGAGTGCTGCCAGGGTTTGGTCAACAATGTTGTGTAGATTGCAGTATTCTGCGAGAAAATGAAGGGCAGTGGTGAACGAAGGTGTGGTAGTTGATGTATGGCAGAGGTGTCTGCGGCAGGAAAGCGTAAATTTCACCCTTGTTTCCAAAGCAGTTGACCAAGGTGATCGGAATTTTGTTCGCTCCCATGTTAGGTATGCCTGCCATCCCTCACCAGGAGACAAAACAGCGGCCCACCATCTGGCTGCATCATCGTCGACATCTCCTACATCCACCATGACTTCGGTTCGTTCGTCTCGCTTGTTGTTGCCATATTCCGCGTGCTTCTCAGTATAAGTCAGCTCGGCTCCGGGCATGAGCTGGACCCAACGCGCTGAAAATATGTAGCTCCATGCCAATATTAGCACAGAAAGGTGATTATCTTCATGATTAAACCATTTCTGATAGGTCGGCTCCAGGCTTTCAGAGAGAGCAAGTTGTGTCGAGTGGTTGATAGAAACTGGTAGCTCAAGTCTTTTTTCCACAAGAGGTATCTTGCATTGCCCCCGCGAAGTTCCCCAAATCGACGTTCCGGTCGCGTAGAGACAGCTATACTCACGCTTCAGATCCAGATCATGGACCAAGGGAGGTAACTTTTGAACTGCGGCCTGCAGGTGGAAGCAAATTCGGGGCAGGCTGGATTGCTGTTTAGCGCGAGTGTAAAGCCTTGTCCAAATACAAAAGCCTTGTTCATACACGGTTCGGCTCTTTTCAGGACTTGGACGTACAGCATCTTCAGGCTTCATGGCGGATGGTATTGCAAAGGGATTGAGAGGTAGAAGCGTCGGCGTTTTTGAGATGAGGTGTATGAAAATAAATGGACTCCAGGGGCGGATTGAGTATTGAAGTTAAACTTGGCCTTTGGCATTGTCAGCTACTTAACAACCTTACCTGGATGCAGGAAACAACCTCATACTGTCGAGACTTAATTTTTGAAATATCTCCACAACCACCTAAGTATCTATTCAGCTCACACAGTGGCTCAATCTGCTTGCCAGAGCTCTAGGTATTGCCCAATATCAAGAAAAGCATGGCAAGCAGCCAAACCACCCCTCAGGTGGGCCTCCAGCCCCAAAACATCTATAATCATGCAACCCAAATATGAGCAGATATCAAAGCTATCAAGAAATTCTGATTAAATGTGCTAGACAAGAACAGAAACTTATTATAAAGCACAATAAAAGCCCTGCTAGATAGTGTAGAGCTGTATATAGAGAAGATCAAGAATATATCATCTACAAGAGAGCTAGCAGCCAAGATCAATATAATGAGAAAGACACAGGAGAAGATGAGAGAATATAATCCAGATCAAGAATCTTCTATCAGCCCTGAATAGCAAGATATCAACATGGACATATGCACAAGTAGTTAAGAATTCCCAGACAACAATTCCCACCCCCAGACTATCACATTGCCACAAGAATATTTGTTTTTCTTCGAAATTGATATTATATACTATCTGTTATTTGGCTTTTGTGGAGAAAGAACATCTCACATTGCCTTGAAATACTTCCTTTCCTATTTTTCATCTTCTACAATGTATACTAAGTAAATCCAAACAGAAAAGCTGCTAGGTAGTCTTCATAGTCACTGACTGCATAAGACTATAATGAATAATAATAATAATAATAAAGTGAGGATCATATATATGGATCAGCATGACAATGAATCTATAGAGAGAAATGTATGTAGAAAAGAGTACACAAGATAAAAGCTCTGTATTCTGACAACTATATACAACTTGTAAACAAGATTGCTACTGACTTCCAGCAAGAGATTCACAGTGGTGGTCTTTTATGTGTGCTTATGAGCATGTGACTTAATGTCTCACAAGAACACATGCAACTCCCAACAGCTCACAAGCTGAGGCTCTCAGCTCTTGTGGGTGTTGTTCATCCATGTAAGGTTTGCAGGCAAATCCTTACAGGCAGCCTTTTATGTGTGCTTGCAAGCATGCGACTTAGTGTCTCACAAGAACACATGCAACTCTCAACAGCTTGTGAGCCAAGGCTCTCAGCCCTTGTGGATGTTGTTCATCTGTGTAAGGGGTTCGCGGGCGAATCCTTACACCTTCAGCTATTATATTGTCTCTTCAGAAGTCTTCTCATCAGTTGAAGTCTCTGATTTAAGAACAGAGTATAAAACCAGTGCAGAAGAATCATCAGAGCAAGCTTATTTAGACTGCTTAATTATATTTTTAAGCAAATCAGCTTCACTGTCCCCAGTTGAAGACAGATCTGATACAGATATGTTCAGCTGGGACTGAATAAAGAGAGAAGATATAATTAGAGTAAGAGAGAGAAGAAAAGAAGCAGATAATTATATTAGCATAAGTTGAATGTATGATCTCCAATCAGTTCAATCTATCTTGACAGAGTAGAATATATACTCCACAAGCTTCTTTTGTTCAGTCTGAATAGCTACAAGCTTTTCTAATACTGCGTCAAAGGAGTGATATTCTTCGCGGAGACGGAGAAGCTTGTGAACGACATCAACAGCAGACTACGGCTCCTCTTCATCCAAACGATCGGTGAACATAGAGTAAATACATACAGAGCAAGGGAAGACGTCCTCCTCCTTGCTCGAGACGGGGTCTTTGGTCGCAGACATGGTAAAAACGAGGGTAAAGTGGCAGTACTGACTTCAGCATTAAAGTAGAAAAGAGAGAGAGATTTGTTAGTTTGGACTAACATAGATATTATTTTGATAAATAATTTATTGAGATCAGCAGTCTATTTCATCATGCTGGCCTTCAATTCTTCTTAGAGAGTCACATTTTTGAGTCTGAGAAGATCTTTATAGTTAGATAGTAATGCTGTTACTTTCTTCTACAGCTCTGATAGAACAGAAGTACAAGCCTTTTTATCTTCTGTATAATTAGTGCAGATCTTTGCAATTTCTTGCTTGCAGGAGCAAGGCTTGTCAATGTGTGCTGTATACATGAACATCAGACAGCAACTGCAGACGGTATTGCCCATAGTGGGCTCTTCTTTCAGGGCTGAGGGCTTTCGCCCTGGCTTCTTCTTCTCAGACACCAGGGAGAAAGAGTGCTCATCCTGAGCAGCCGATTTTTGTGTTCGAGGGGCCATTTTTTGCTATTTCAAGAGGACGGGCGTCCTCTTATAATCAACTGACTTGGTAGAATCGCACTTGAGTTTCTCTTAGCTTTCAAAGTGTTATTATAAATTATGCATAGTGCGCCCCTTTTTGTCTGTTTCTGACACAATGAGCGATCAGGTAAATATTTATCAGCAACTGCCGGTCGGGCAAAGTCGGCGATTTGGGCCTTGACTTCGGCCGGAAGGCTCTGCTTAATGGAGCAAAAATATCCTATAAATTTTGAGGATATTGAGACATCTAAAATCTCAGCGAAGTTTTTGTGTTATTATATTCGCCATAGGAACTGGGTTCGATAGTTACCCTTCTTGCGAAATATATATGGTAAGTAGCTAGGAGTGACGTAAACAGAACTCGATTTGAATGGTAAAATCCTGTGTCACAGTACCAGCAGTGATATTGGGATAGATTCAAGAGCAGAAATTTCAATCAATAGATTGTATAACAGGGCCGCAGAGTCAATCCCAGTTGCATTAAAATGAGAGCTTCCCCGGGCTGTCCAACCTTTTTAGGCATCGTGGGGAAGGTCCTGGTTCCTTGGGCGACGAATCTCTTTGACTTGATCCATGATAGTCCCGTCTTTGCCGGGATTGATCCTGACTATGCCAGATGATAAAGTCTTGCTCAGGCTGTGGGTTTGCTGTTGCATTATAATCTCAGTCGTTGACCCGAGCGAGACTCTGGCCTGGAAGCGCTTGAGCACAACATCTTAGATCTTCCTTCCCGGGCTGGATGGAAGAGAACGGGTGTCAATTGTAGCATGTGAAGGTTTCATAAATTAGGACCCGTAAGATGTAAATTGGAGGATGTAGTGAGCTCGAATGTCCAGCAGTCTGTTATTCTTTTCTTTAAGGTTGATGATATGTGGTAATAGCGGCCTTGAATTCTAATATTTGCGTAACATGCGGAAGAACGTTGAGACGAACGAAGCGCCTCCACGACACTACGAAAACCAGAAGAAACGGCATCAGTCAGACCATCAATGGAAGAAGCAACGTTGGCCTACGCAAAAATTAGCCTAGGACAAGCAGAAATGATAGACCAAACATACGAAACCAGTTTCGGCTGTCCCACGAAGTTCTTTTGTACCACTGGTTAGGCGCGTGGCTAGCTGATCAATCGATACCTGCACGTTTCCGACCTCAACCTGGATTTGAGACATTCCGGCACGAAGAGGAGTAAGGAGACGTAGAGGTTCTTGAACATCGGCATCAGAAGAAACATGGACGACGTCATCAGCTAATGGTGTCGAATGACGACGACGTTTTTTTGAAAGACCCGCAACGGGAGACGAAGCACGACGACGTGAGGAGCCCGTCTTCCTAGCAGATCCCTTTTGACGCTTTGATGCGCCAGAGTCCAGACCGCGATAATCACGCACCAAACCGCACATCTCTCTTGCGAGAGTCGCTCGTTGAGAATCGGTGGGATCAAGATCTAGATAAACCTCGCGAAGGCGTAACAATTTGCGGACGAGGCTATTCGCGGATTCATGGACCTATACCCACGTTAGAATAGCAAAGGAAACGAGTCGAAAACCTCGTACATCGCGACATTTACGGGTAGTACGCTCTAGGCAGTGTTCACAGGAATTCTTTTCTTCGTTCCACACACAAGGCAATTTCTCTCCAAGGCGATCCGTAAACATGGAGTACACACAAACGGAACAGGGGAAAACATCTTCGCCTTCGTTCGTAACGGGGACCTGAGTCGACGACATGATTGGAAATCGTAAAGCAGGACGAGGCTGTCAACATAACGATAGAAGTGGGCCACTAAATCAGTAACCACATCAGTGACTATCATAAGGGCATTCATTAGCTCCACCTAGAAAGTAATCCCACAGCACTTTGGCGCTGCAATAAAGCCCCTGAACGCACCTAAGAGATTCGGAGGTGTGTTTCATTGCCTAGCATAATATATGGCCAATAGTTTGAAGGAAGGTTCCAATTCCAGCAAATCTTTTTTTTCTTTTTTTTTTTTTTTTTTTTAAGAGAGAGATGTATATATATAAGAAACCTGATGAGGAGAGAATGAGGAGAGAAGAGAATCTCAAGCTGATTTCCTCAGTTTATATATTGAGGTCCGAGGAGCCTCACGTGAGAACCAACTTGCGCTAACTAGAAATTCTGTGAGTAATTCACAGATATCTCGGCAGCTATAGCAGATGGGCGTTGCGCCATCTGCGGTACATCCCTTGAGTGATGCGAATGTAACAAGAGAGTGCCAGCAGAGTGCCAGGAGAGTGACGGGAGAGTGACGGGAAATGCATCGAAGAAGAATAACAAAACTGTAACTGATAAAATCCCTGTGAATAAATATGAATAATGCCCAGAGGTTTCTATCATGATCTCTGAGACACATCTTCACCTTTGCTCGAATTTTCTATTGTTGTGAAAGTGAAAAGCTACGCGGCGATCTCCCTGGCACAGGAGCTCGGCATGTTTGCACTATTTGCATGCCTTGTCATCCCGCAAACTCGCCGAACGGTGCCATCTCTCCGCGATAGTTTAGCGTCAGCGGGAGTGGAGTTTATCGCAAAGATGAATGTACCTAGGCAAAGGCGCCTGGTTGCCTTCCTCCTATCCGACCCCTAGGTATGCGTACCCCATCCTTCCCCCCACGCTTTAAAGGCATTCTGGGCAAGGATTTTGGGAAGTGCTTGGGTCCTACGCAGTCGGTATCGCGAACAGTAGCAGCTGCCTCCTTCACATTTCGGCGAGGATATAATCAGCTCGGCACAGGCACGGCGGTTGTTCCGAACAGACGGGCACGGGTTGAAATGTCAGACTCCAAGGCGGCGTTGCGCCTGAGGGCCATCCAGGGCCATATGCAGAATAAGGCGATATCATCCGCGGCTTCCTCGTCCTCCTCCGCATCCTCTTCGTCCTCTTCTCCCGCTCCGCAGCCTACTTCGCAGCAGCGGAGCCTTGATTTTTCGGCGCTCGCAAGTCTTATGCCCAAAGAGGCCAATAACACCACGGCGACCTCGTTATGGTACGTCGTTGCGACGGCTGCACTTCTCTCGTTCCACCAAGAGCCCGCAGTGGGAGAGCTATGGAAATACATCAACGGCCTGAACAACTGCGACCAAACCACAAGAGTTACAATTGCCCGGAGGATCCGAGAATGCTGCTTAAAAGCCAGCGTTCTCGTTGGCTTTCCTCGGGTGAGTCACCAAACACTCTTCCCCTATTCTACCCGTAGTTATCCTCTCCATGACAGTCCGCTTCTAACGATGCGCCCAGGGAATAAACTCTCTTTCCTCCCTCCAGTCCTCCATCGAAAGCAATTCTCCAGACCTCCTCCCCGTTCTATCAAAAGATACATCCATGCGCGCCCCGGTTCCTCTTGAAGAAAAACTCAAGCGTGGAAAGCACTTCTTCTCCCAAATCTACTCCAACCATACCGACCGTATCCTGGCGAACATGGGCAAAAGCTCGGGCGGAGACCTGAGTGACTTTGCTATCAGGAGTGTGTACGGTGAACTCATGGGTGAAATGAGGATTCTTAATCCCATGGAAACGGTCATGATGGAGTTTGTGTGCTGTTTGGCGGATGATGTTGCTCCGCAGGCTAAAGGGTGAGTGATATATTCCCTGCATCAGCGCGGCGTACTGTCTGCTTTGCTCTAATTCTCTTTCTCTGTAGGCACTTTTTTGGATGTAGGAACCTGGGAGCTACAGGCCAACAGGTGCTGGGCGCTGTGGAGCTTGTGAGAGAAATCGCGAGACAGCTGGGCCTTGACAGGCCTGGAAACGGTGATCATTTTGGATTCCTGGCCAAGGCAGAGACTTGGTAGAGCTTGGAAGTGCGATAGATTCCTTTTTGATACATACGCAACACCTGTACAAGGTAGATGCCCTTGTATTCTGTGGAACAATCTGAGTGTTCCGGTATATATTATATAGATAACTACACATGATCAGAAGGACATAAATCTGGTGCTTCCCGGGGTAGAAAAACACACACACACATCAGGTTGGAACGATAACTATGCTCCTTACTCATGAAAATCCATGTTGTTGGCCTTCAAATGTCACCATTGTGCTCCTCACAATTGGAATCTACTCTAGATACCATATTACGTGACATTATTTCGCTCAGTGGCCGTATTTCAAGCCACGTCAGGTGGCTTAACAACCCGCTGCAGTGTGTGGGGTTTTCAATTGTGTTCCGCGATACAGAAATCAAATGACACACGGCTTCACTGCAGTGCAGCATTGCCTCAGGATTCTAGAAGCCAACGCGGCTTCTTGCTTGAAGCCTTGAAGTTCTTGGTCGGCGGGTCGGGCGGAACGGTGGCTTACGTATTTGGTACAACACACATGTACAGAGAGTTGTCCAAGTGTGAAGTACAAACATGGAGACAGACTAATTTCGAGTGACTCGAAGGTGATTCTGCGTGATCAGCCTCCTGGAACTACCTCCACCTTAACAAGAGGATCACCCTAGCTTGTCAAAAATTCAACAAATCAACGCAAGAGCCAGCCGCAATGACATCGGGCAGGGACTATTTTTGGGTTACAGCCCGGATCGTATGGCGACACAACTTTTGATCGGTACTACGGATATGCGGGATTAGATCTCTCTCCCAGTTTTCACAGAACCTTTGCGATCAAATCGGCCAATCCCCAGTTGGATCTCTGAGGATCTCAAACGACTGCGGTTTGGGAATGTGTCTCATTGGAGTTTGGGGAGTAGGAAACCTTCCTGAACATGGGTTTATGCACTTAGAGAATACCGGTATAAATAAGACGTGTACCCGCCCGGGCAACGTCAGCTGGAGCGGAAATGCCCGAGCTTGCGGACGCGTCCGGGAGATATGTATCTGCCTGGAGGGCTATTTTGCCCGGAAAGAGCATTTGAATGAAATCACCCTGAAGCTCTCGATCAGACAGCCTGAGAATCCAGTTTTCGACACAAACAGAACAATGCAGCTGATTGCGAAAGTCATCTGGCTTGCGTTTCGGATGTTGGGAGGCTGGACATCACACACACGGAGATCCTAGCGGATAATGGCAGCCGGAAAGCCACAGTCATGAACCGGCCCAACGGCTTTGGAGGTGACGGCGTAGAATGCTTTTCGAGAAGGTTGCACACGGAGCGGCACCACCAATAACTTGTGTATGCCAATGCCCAGCAACAACAGAGTCCAAGAGGATGCGGGACAGGTCCAAGTTGAAAAGAGTCATGTCGACGGTCAGGGAATAGCACGGGAACGCGAGCACTCTTGATTGTTCGCGACGAACGTCAAACGATCCTCACCTGGCTGAGGGACAGACAAGGGGGGAAAGCGAGCTGAAGTTGCTGGTGAAACGCAATTCAAGACCTTCTGGTGCAGATCAACGCGTCCATGGGCGGGATGTCTTGCCAGCTGGCATTGCGAAAACCCTCGACAAGAGAAAGGAAGGGTGGAGGACAATGCCAGCTTTCGTGCGTAATATGTGGGTTGTATGGATGGGCGGGCCTTGGGGGACGCCGGGCTTGTCACGCTACGAATCTCTGGAGAGGTTTTGCCCAGCGAAGACTCATACTATTTGTTTTCTTTTTCTGGCTGTCGTCGGCTTCGGGTTGTTCGACCGCAGCGAGCAAACGACGCTCTCGCAGGCCCGCCCGTGGCTAGTTGAGGCAATTCGAGGCAGCGGCTACGCCTCCCGTTTTGCTACTTCCTGCAGCAACGCGGGCGGCGGGCGGCGGCCAGCGGATCAACTGATCTTCCAGTACCAAGAGTCTCGGCGAGCAGACAAGCAAATCCCAAGTCCCTCTCCCGGGCTTGGCGCTCACCACTCGCTCGACTCCTTTGCCACACGTGCGAGGCCCCTGGAGTCTGATTGGTTCCGCCGCAAGCTCATACACTTCCCGTCGGCTCCTGTCTTGCACCGGTCTTAGCCCTGTCCTGGTACGGTCCGTTACACGGCAGCTTCAATGGCGGTACCACCACACTGTGGCGGTATCGAATCGAAGATACACTGCAAATACTGTCCTGTTACCGGGTTCCACCCCAAGCTGGTGGAGGAAAAAAAAAAATGGCAATGCACGCGGATGGTCGACTCTTTGCCCATGATTGCTGGAACGTCCGTCGGGGAGGGGCGGATACATAGAGCGAGATGGAGGAGCACAGGCAGAGCCATTTCTCGCTCCTCTTTAATTCTCCCAATCCCCCCTCCTCCATTTCTCTCTCTCTCTCTCTCTTTTTTTTTTTTTTTTTCCTGTCTGCGTCAACTTCAATCCTTTTCGTTCCGCACTTCTTTGAGAGACTGGCTCGTGGAGAGTTAAGAGCCAAGAGGACTGTTCTTGGGTAGTGGATCTGTACTCCTGCAAAGTGAGTATCATGCCGTTGTTCTTGCGTGCATGGTCAAGATTGCTTGGTCAGGTTAAGCTTCGCCATGATTCTTGTCAGGATCGTCCGCTGGAGCCAGTGAGAGTGGCGCCTGGAAGAACGTGGTTGAAGAGCTGCCCGCTGCGCTTGGGGTTGATGGGCCGGGCCGTTGCTAGGCATCTGCTTGGCTTCTTGGGCTGAGCATTGGCGTTTCCGCTGGCTTCTTGCATCGTGCATCTTCCACCCAGCTTCCTTTGTCCCCCCAGCGCTTGCCATTGGCCCGTTTCCCCCTTTCTGGAGGGGCTGCATGCTGATCTGAAGCAGGTCAGCTAGGAAAACCCCAGGCCATCGTCCGGGCCACCACGCGACAGGACCCATTCCTGCGGGCCATCTCGTTTCTCGGCGGATTTTCAAAGCAGCAAGCTTGTCAGAGCTTCCCCTGAAATACCAACAAATGACGGACTTTGGCCCCCGAGCCCCGCACGGGCCTGACATGACGGGCACGCACGAACCCCTGCAGGAAATGAACTTGAATGAGAAGGAGGCATTCGACCGCCTGATTCGCCCAGATGACTGCTACACATCCGACGGCGTCTATTGGGCGGATCTACCGCTGCTCAAAAGGATAGGGTTTGTCAGTTCTTACGACCTGAAAGAGGCTGGAAGAGAGTTCTGCGGCTTCTTGAAGATGTTCAAGAACGACCCCTTGTCACCGGTGTCCTACTATTTTCGTAATATGGTCCTGCCTGGTGCTGGGCTTGGTTTGGAAGGGTAAGCACTCCGTACATACACACATACATACAGATTTTCTTGGCTAGGCCCTCCTTTTGGATGATCTGCATCGAAGCTACGGCGCGCTAAGATATGCTTTAGTTATGTCCTCTTTTCTATTGGCAATATCAAGCCGCTGTTTGAGAAATCGTTTCCCGAGTGCTGGAAGACCAAAGAAATCTGCAATCCGACTTGGATTGCCGCCGTCGAATACCTTGAAATTTGTGGCATCATTGTCGGCCAAATACTCGTTGGGATCCTTGGTGACTGGTACGCAAATGTTCCCCTTTCGTACCTCCAATCCTCAAATTGACGATGTCTTCCAGGATCGGGCGACGATGGGGTCTGATTCAAGATGCTGTCATCATGCTTCTGGGTCTTGTCATGCTGACTGCAGCTTGGGGGGTTACTCAGAATGGATGGGTGATATGCTACGTTTGGTCCTTGTTTTTCTACGGCATCGGAGTTGGAGGTGAATACCCCATGACGGCTACAAGTGGCATGGAAAATGCTGTCGGTTCCGGTAAGGTTTCGACAAAGGAAGACCGATTGCACCGTGGCCGGAAAGTCACAAGTGCATTTCTCATGCAGGGCTGGGGCCAGTTTTTCAATCAAGCCCTTTTGATCATTCTTCTTCTCATCTTTCATCATGGAAGCGGAAATGCCCCTTATTCAGCAGTTTCAGCGCAGTGGACGTACCGTGTCTCGTTCGCTATTCCCGCTGTGGGCACCCTATGGCTGGTGTATTACCGCTTTTACAAGATGAAAGCCGCCAGCAAGCAGTTGGCTATTGCGAAAGCGAAATCTCGCGTTACCGGCTACGACACCAAGTCGCTTCGACTTACCTTCAAGTACTTTGGCTTCCGTCTCTTAGCTACAGCCGGAACGTGGTTTGCCAACGATGTGTTCTTCTACGGGAACAAGCTGTTCCAGAACGAGTTTATTTCTGTTATCAGCCCAGAGACTACGTCCATTATGCCGGGGTGGCTTTATAACCTGCTCAACGTTGGCGTTTCCCTCGTCGGTTACTACTTGGCCTGTAAGTGCCCGTCTTTTGATGATATCTCAAGATACACACTCTTAAACACAGACAACACGGTTGAAAAAGATTCTCTAACTCTCTCGCGCAGCATTTCTCATTGACAGCAAACTCTACGGTCGCAAGTGGATGCAGATCATCGGCTTCTTAATGGATTTCATTTTCTTCATCATTCCGGCGTATCACTTCGAATACTACACCTCACCCGAACACATCCACGCTTTCCAAGCGATGTACTTCCTCAGCAGCTTTTTCAACCAATTCGGCCCGAACTCAGTCACTTTCTTGGTCGCTGCCGAGGTCTTTCCTACCCCGATCCGCGCGTCAGCCCACGGTTTTGCGGCTGCCATTGGTAAACTTGGTGCATTGGTGGCAGCGGTGATGTACAATTACATCTCCACCACACAAAAATTCCACGTTGTACCATGGTTTGGCTTGGCCGGCATGGTTCTCACTTTCCTGTTTCTCCCTGACACAACCGGTCTTGATTTGAAAGAACAAGAGCGACGTTGGTTTTATATCCGCAATGGGCGTGAGCATGAGTATCATGGTCCTGCCGTGCACCCATCGCATCTATCTCTGTGGGAGCGGTTCCGTGGCGTTGGCAAATATTATGATGCCGATCTTGATTACAAGCAAAAAGTCAAGGAGTTACGAGAGGAGTGGCTTGCCTCCGTGGCTCGCCATACCGATGAAAAGCCTCGCCCGTACGATGACGGAGACCTTAGTGAAGGTCTATTACAGGAGAGTGTGCAGCGATACTTTGAGCGTACTAGCCCTATGATCTTTGCCAAGGAGCAATTTACCAGTGACTTTAACAAGGAAGGCTTGGAAAACTTGCCGCCTCCGCAAGCCGGGAGCTCGGAGGACATTTCAGATTGATTCTTTGTGCGTTTATTAGCGGGCGTTTGGCATTGACTTTTTTGATATGTTCCTTTATCGTTTCTAATGGGCTTCTTTTTGCCCGTCAGCATCTAAGCGTTAACACAGAGGTCGATAGACCGTTGATATATCCAAAAGTTACTCTGCGTGGCAGGATATGATGATACCGATACACAAGTTCAATAAAGAATAACGTTGACGAATATCCATCATGCATCTCATAGTTTAGACCACGGGATGAAAGTCCCTACTCAGGTAGATCTGCTGGACTTGGATTGACTCCACGATCAACCGTGGTATAGAAACTGCTGCGTCTCCAGGTTTATTGATAGTAGATTCCAGGCCGTCCTTAATCTAATTCAAACAAACCAATGCGAGAATGGGCATAAAGACATGGTCATAGGAACTGCAAAAAGATCCCGTGGGGCATAAAGCTCGGATTCTTCGGCAATGACCATGGTGGATTTCACGTTGAATCCCCGGTTGATATAACTAGGAACGGGAGACGGCGGATTCCCATGAACTTGGACCGCCGAGTTAGATGGGGGAAACATTTGGAGGAGGTGGCAGGCTCTGGCGCTGCTTTCTCCGTGCCGACTTTGCCGCACAATTCGCCTTCTTATACTAGGGTGTTTTTTTTTTTTTTTTTTAATGATTAATGGGGATAACAGAAATAGAAGGGCTGGGAAATTTTAAGATCTTATAAGGATAAGCCGTAGGTTATCATTATGAGCTCATTGAAGCGGGCTGCATTTTCTTTTGGTGGTGTGCACCGAGTGTCATAGTGGACAGTTTGTTAGACCTAGTTAACTAACTATGACACACGTGGAAAAAGCTAGGCAAGAGGTTGGTGGATTGGCGACTCGTGCACGTCAGTAGAGCGAGAAGATGCTCTCTTCTGGCCCGGTTGATAACTTGATAGTGGATTGAGCGCAACTTTTTGACAGTTAGGCCTATCTCAAGAGCTTCACTACCAGCTCGCGCGTTGATGAGGTGAAAGCGGACCAATGAAATCCCAAGCCTCACCCGTTTCAAGATTTCCGTTGCCAAGGTTGGCCTCGTGGCGCAAGGTCAATTTTGACGTTAAAACGGGGCGGCGGTATCGATTCTTCATAAGGTTGGGAGCAGCTTTATTCCCATCTTCGACAGCTTGGCCCTCGGCGGAGCTCACTTAAACTCCCGAGAAATCTTCCCTAAGCCGGCTTTCGATATCGCATGTTCGCCTTCCGCGACAAGATGAACCGGGCAGTGGAAAACCTACGTAGACACCTTCAGGATTTTCGCTCAACCTTTCTATCAGCGGCGGTTCTCTATGCCATTGCGTCAGCGATGTTGTTTTGGACCCTTGAAGAAGGGCATTGGGGACGATGTCCCTTGAATAAATGCCTAGCTGTCTCTTGATATACCAGAATCACCCCAAATTTTCCAGCTTGCATCGTCACAACGGCATTGCAAGCAGTCGGGATGTTCTACGATCCATTCCTCCTGGGGCTTGTTGCCCCCTTATTATTCTTTGCCGCAAATGCTCAGCCGGCGAACATAACCTATGCGGGTGGTATAGTGGTTCCCGCCACTCCGCCTGTGGTGACCGGCCCCAGCTTTTCACGGGCTACGGGGTCGTTCACCGGCGTCCCTACCGTTACGGGTGCTCTGTCGGGCTCTGTGCGAGCGCCGGCTATTACACCAAGGCCACCGCCTCCTGAAGCGACGAGATATCCCAGTGACGGCAAGCTCAACGACACACAACCTGCGCCGTTCCTCCCTGGAGGCGGATTGGGCACCAATGGCACGATGCCGATCTATAACGTGCGGAGCGACTATGATTACCAGTCTGTTGTGAGTGCTATCACTGCTACTGCTTGATCCCGGCTCCTCTGTATTGGATAGCGGCTAAAGATGTGACCACCCCCCTTACAGGCACTTCTCCTCTACTGCGATTGGTTTCAGCTTGATATGTTCGATACGGGCCTCTCCCAGTTTTCCACCCGGGATTTCATTGAGGCGGGTCTAACTGCTAGAGACCGAAACCTGGTCCGATTCCTGCGAGGTGAGGTGCTGGGTCATATTACGCTGTTGAGTAACATCCTCGGCCATACAGCTCCTACGAGATGCAGCTATCGCTACCCTTTCACAACTTTGTTTGAATTCGTCGATTTTGCCCAGAAAGTCAGCAAAATTATAGAATCTCAAGCTTATGGCTTTATACCACATCTGGATGCGCGAGAAACCGCTCAGCTGCTTCTCCAGGCGATTTCGGTTACTGGTCGCCAGCAGCTCATCCTCCGTCAATTTGAAGGCTTGTTCCCTGTGCCTGTCTGGTTCCAAAGTAGCATCCCACAATCCTGGGCCTGGACATTGATCGCCCCGCATATCCACTTTTGCCCCTGGAGGAACCCTCGGCTTGTGTGGCAGAACTATCCAGCCCTCAGCATCATTAGCCAGCCAAATCCACTCGCAGCCAATGCAACCGCGCTGAATAACACGGCTCTCGGGCCCGGAATCAACGCGGCAAATATGTCTGCAATCGACCCGGAGGATCTCTGCTCGAACTCGACATGTGCACCGTCGATCTCAGGAAACCGGACCCGCCCGCTCACAGAACCAGGACAACCCGTGGCAATCTCCTGGGAGCAGCCGGGCATGCACGTCGGTCCCAACAACAGCTACGTTACCACATCCACGGCCGGTGAACCTGCATTCTTGGCGTGGGTGACGCAGTTGAATATCACATACTCGCCGTTGACGCGTATCAACCGCTCGATTCCAATGACGGCGGAGACAACGCAGCCGGAATTTGATACGTATGCTGGGGACCCTGCAATTAACGGGACAATATTTGTGGCCGTTACGGATCTGGACTTGTTTGTTACGCCGTTCAACTTGAGTTTGCTGAATCCGCATATTGTTGCTGGGCCAGCGGTGTATCAGGCTGGTTGAGCCGCTGAGACATTCTTTTTTTTGATGTGGGATACACTTTGACCAGATTAATATGTTTGTCTTTGTGCTTTGAGCGTACCTTTGGAACAGGATGTAATGAAGCAGAGGAACCTTTTGGACTCGGGGAGGCACCGTAAAGGAGCCTCGTGCAAGTAAGGAATTTTTCAATTGGATGTCAGTTTTAACCCATATTTGCTCTCGACATGTGATGAAAGTTCCATTATATAGAACGGGTATACACGGTCCCGCCGGCCACCAGTTCCCAAAGCAAAGCCGCGTAACTTTCCTTCTAATTCTTCGACTGCGGCTTTCTGGTCATGAGCGCTAGGCGCACCCAATCGCCCTCGTCTCCTCCTCGACCCGTGAACCTTCCGACATCAAATTCCAACCGCCCAGGCTGGCCGTCTGGGAAAGTTATAGTCTCAAATCCATATCTCTCATAGAGAGGCTGTCCCTTTACGGAGGCTTCCAAGTAGGACTCTACACCGTGTTTGTCAGCGATGTCGAGCCCGTATTTGAGGAGAACGGTGCCTGCACCGCGGCCCTGATGGTCGGGGTGGGTGCAGAGAACGGCAAGAACTGAAAAAGAAAGTGGTCGATTGTTTCAAGAGTCAGTACTGTTCCTTAAGAGAGCACACAGCGCCTATTAAAGCACGTAGGAATCGAACAGTCGAGGGAGGAAGACTCACAGCAATGTTCCCTCCCTTCCTCCCCGAACCACCTCTTCTTCCCCTCGAACATCATCCCCTTGGCAAACCTATACCCTTCTTCCTCCACGCCCCGCGGAATCTCCATGTCTCCGCCCGTCCTCACACCTTCCTTCCACCGCTTTAACGAGACTTTGTCGAGGAATGTATACCATTTTGCGACGGAGATGATTTCGCCGGTCTCATCGTCGACGGCGCCGATGAGATGGAAGGTGGGGTCGGAGGAGAGTGTTTCTTGCAGGCGGGATATCTGGATGGCGTGTCGGTCGGAGGGTGAGAGATCGCGCGGGTTGCCTTCGGGTGCGGCGCCGACAGTGCGGCAGAATGCGCTGTTGGCGAAGGTGATGGATTGGATTTCGACGGCTCGAGCAAGGTCAGCGGGGCTGGAGAGCCGGCGGAGGGAGCAGGGCATTGTGGGGAACTTCTTCTGGTTTTGTTCGGCTGGGGTTTGTTGTTCTAGAGAGGGCTATTACGATGTTTATGTATATATCTTAGCTAGCTAGAAAACGTAAGACTTAGGGGCAAGATATCCTGTGGTATTGAGTCATAAACAGCGTCTCGCGCTTTTTAAATTTGAAAGAGACGCGGCACCGGCCTCGGCGAAGACACGCTGATGTTGATACGGTCCATTGCCGACGGGAAATGTGACTGGGGCCAAAACGCATATTGCCGAAGATCCACACCAAGATCACGAATAGTGATTGTGCATCCTTTCCTTGCGGGAGGGCCGATTGCATGCTTTATCCGAGCGTTGTGGCATCGCTATTAGTATTTACTGTCCAAGCGCGGTTCCTTCGGCGATTCTGGTGTTACGCACGGAGCAACTGACTCGGCCGTACTCGGCCCGCCCGGGTAACAACGCTTAATTTTCTGCTACAGTACGGTTTAGCATGTCCTGTGCGGGTGTGTCTCGCTTGGCCTGGTTGGTTATATAAAAAGGTTGTTTGTGCGGCCTTGCACTCTCTGCTTCCTTCGTTTTGTTCTTCTCCCCCGGCTGCTCTCCTCCTCCTCCTCCTCAGCTGACCTTGGAGCTGCTTTGGGTGATAGAGTCAGGTGTTGCAAGTTCTACTGTCAAGCTGCATTTCGGTGCTCTCCTGGAAGATTTTCTTCGGCCGAAAATGGGCTTTTTGTTTTGGTCCCCAGAGGAGTAATTGTTGAATGACAGTCTCGAAGTTTATATCTACCTCACTTAACGGAGAAGCAGTGCTCAGCTTTCGAGTGAATGCTTAGAATATAGCTTCTTCAAAGCTAATAAGCCTGTTCAACTGTCTGTGAGGAGGAGACTTCGCCCACACTCTTTTTTAACTCTTAGTTCAACTGGCCCGGCGCATGGCACCTGATAAGGAGATAAGGAAAGCCATTTGCCAATATACGCCAGGCATAAACAAATGATGAGAGGTTACCATAAAGATCGAAGTGTTAAAGTTGTGGATATGCGGAATGCTGCAGATGTTGAGGGACGTTCATCATTAGAGGAATAGGAAATTGTTGGCAATGAGACAAAGGAATCGGGTTAAGAATTTTTTTTTCTCTTTTTTCTTTATGTCCTTGGATTTCACATTGTGAGCAGTTCTCTATTTTGTTAATGTCATTTACAACATGCTTGAGACAAGCCTTGAAAATGGCAAGTATCTTATGCTCTTTCTGGAGAGAGGATCCTTCACGAGTGCAAAAGATCTTCAAAACTTCATGGATTGGAAAAAATGCACTACATGCCTGGGGACTTCGGGACATATGGCGCCGCAATGCAAGCAAGATATCGAAACCCTGGGAGACTTTGTCAGCGAAGACCGGTTTCCGAGCCCGGTTCCCAAAGTCGCCGAAAATGCAACTGCCTAAGCCAAGGAATGACGTTTGGACGGTAGCGATGTGCGGTGTTCGGTTGGCAGGGCTGCTGTTTAGGTCAGGCCGATGGAGTATTGATATCCATTGACATAGAGTTGCGCCCCAATCATCACGGCAAGATCCTTCAATAGTTAATTGTTTGGTGGTTTCCCGGTACTTTGGAAACTGGGAGCGAATATGGAGAGTTGTGTGGATTGTAAGACAGGGGTCATTGTCCCTCCCCTCTACTCCGTATGGCTGTCCTCAATGTATGCAATTCCAATGATTATAGGGCATTTAACGAACTTCAAATCAATAGAATACAGCGTAACTGGACATCCGACAAAACGGTCATTGAATCGCAGTCGAAGGCCACGATCTACATTTACTAGAAGTGATACCTTAATTAACTCCAAGATCCGGATGTACATCGGGAGCGGGAAGGCTAGCGAGCGTTAAGCTTAAATACGGGCAAGCCACATTGTGATGCAAGCTGCTTTCCATCTGATGGTCAGGGCCGATCAGATCTAGGCGCGCCCGGCCAGTATTCGAAAACTACGCGCTTTGGCTGCTGTATTCTTATCCTCGGCGGCTACCGACGTGTTGCTGGACCCTGACAGAGGCCCTGCCGCACTCTCTGCCACCCCTGCACCCCTGCACCGGCCGCAGCGTGTGACGATCTCGTCGCCAACGCGAAGCCTCTGATGATGCAACCGTCGGCAAAATGCAGCAACCCGTTGACGTCACCTCCAGGATGTGTTTCAGAAAGTGAAGCCCGCGAAGCCACGCCAAGCCGGCTTACCGGATCAATAGTTATACCGATAAGAGCACAGCCTCATCAAGCAAGCAGCTCCTATGGCTCAGTTGGTAGAGCGCATCACTAGTAATGATGAGGTCCTCAGTTCGAATCTGAGTGGGAGCACTTGAAAGTTTCCTTTTTTTGCTTTCGTTTTATTGTTTATCTTCATGCACATGCTTGGAATGAGGAATTAGAATGTTTAATTTTTTAACTACGCCAACTAACTTTTTGCGTTGAGTTAATTTCCCTTCTAGAATATGGCTACTGCATTCGGCGGCGACGAAACTCCGCCGGGCATATTCAGCGGCACGGATGCAACAAAGAAACTCCACCTTCCGAGCTCTTTACAAGTGCGGGCAAGCTCTTCGAGGTCAAAGAGTTCTCCTAGATCATACGCTTATCAGACACGGTACAAGGAGCGAATGGAATGAACCTGGTTAGGGCTGAGAAGATCACGAGATCATCACCGTCCCTCTTTGAGACCTTCAGACGTCAACTCCTCTTTGGTCTTCACTTACCGATTGGCATGCCCCAGCCAGCGAGCAGGTATTCGTGCAGAAACAGCTCCGGATCCTGTGGAGGATATACCTAAGACTGATTTCAGCTTTTCTTCCTCGCATAAGTTGACTTCTCTAGTTAGGAGGGAAAAAGGAACATGACTGATGGAGCTGCTGACCTCCCAGCTAATAGCGTCGCCAGCTACCGCGGAAAACTTGCAATCCCAAATCCAGCGCAGCATATCTATCGTTGCTTCGACTCCTGCATGCTCTGGCGCAGGATGAAGCGAGTATTCGCGCTTCTGTTGGTCCGTCATGACATTGTCCCATTCGTGGGTTACCCCAATCCGGATGAATAGCATATCGCCCTTCTGGAATGTGATATCGCATTCCTTTGCAATTTCGATGATGTCGCCGAGCCGAATTTGGTGTGTGGAGAATGTGGTATATTCGATACCATGCTTTTCGGCCCACGAGGCGTAGTCGATGAGCACTCCACGGCCCGTGATTCCGGCACGAGCCCAGTGCTGCATGCCGATCCGATCCGTGGATCGGTCTAATATTTCGGCGGCAGTGGTCCCTCCATAGAAGACTCGGTGTGCGGGTTTATCGTCTGTCGCAGGGATCTTTTGTGAAAAGTGTCGTAGCCCGTCCCATTGACTGCTTTGCTCTTTGAATTCGTCAGTTTTCAGGCCCTCAATGCGACAAAAGGCGACGGGGGAAGAAAACACATATGGATGGGGGGAGAGATGATACGTACGCGGATTGAAAACGTAGACATCGTCGAATGCAACCCCGTTGAGCAGAGAGATAATGTGGTGTTGACATGGATGCCGATTGAGATTGGCCAGTTCGAGTTTTGTCATTTCCCATCCAAGCGTCACACGTCGACCTGTCTTTATCTCTTTTGCTGCATTGGCTACTACTTCAGGGGTGAGCAAGGCAAGCTTTCCCAATCCTTCTTCGTTGCTCCCTGGCTTCCCAACCCAAACTTGTTTGGGATTGGGTAGTTTGTCGAAAGGAATATCGAAAGCAGATGAAGATGAGTCCATGGCTCGAACAAGGCGGCGGAATCACTATGGCAGTGACATAGATTTGTTGTTTACAAAGGAGGTTTTCATCGCGTACATCTATTCGACATAGGACCTTCCAACAAGCATCGACGAGTCCCCAGCCTAGGCTTCCCCGCATCCAGAGCAGGACGATAAGAACTTTGCGGCATATCCAAGAGGCTTTCCATATTTTGCGCAGCTAGCATACCTGTGATGTGTGGAGTTCTTGGAAGCCTATAAGTTACACAAGTGCTACTTGGTAAGCGGCCACCGGCTTCCGGATAGTTAGATGTTCTACACATGAAGGCACAAATCACCGGATTACTATGCCGCTCCTCCGATAATCGGAGAAATAAGAGGTTTCGTTGATAATTTCCTGATCAGGAAGTCGGCCCTGATCGCTTATAATCGGCGAATTTTCACGGCAAAGTGTTCCCACACCTTGATTCTGATAGCAAACCCGCGAGCTGAGAATCGTGCTGGCGCGCAGCTGTTAGTGCCTAACTAGAGCTAAAGTCGATAACATCATGAACTGACTAGCCTTCGTCTTCAAGGTCACAGGTCCCGAAATTATGGTTTAGCGCCAGCACTAACTATTCCGTTCCTGGGCATCTGCGCCTGGGGCTTCGCTTGATCTTACCATTGAATTGGCCGCGCTTGAGGTTTTGGGGGCGAACTTTGGTTAGTTTACCCGGATCCAGGAAACTTTTAAGTCGACGGTTAGTGCCTCGGTTGGACGAAGCCGGTGGTCCCATAATTGCAGCATTTATCAAGAACAGCAGTCGTGCATATGCCTAAGAGAGCACCTCATGAACCGTCTTGTCATGGAAGGTTTGTTACTTCTCCAAAATTGGGATTCTCTATTGCTTTATACCAGTTTATGCGACTTCGGGGACCACCTCGGCAGTGGGTTCAGACGTTTCCTCCACTTTTCCCTGAGTGTCAGGATAAGCGCGTGGTTTTCGGAGCCTACAAGCACCATGACAGGTGGAGACCCAAGTGGGCCTCGAATTGCTTGCCATTGCTTCACAATTATTACTGCTTGTATTGGTGAGGAAGTGGGTTGATATACTCTGGAATACTCGTTTAAGCTTTGTTCCTCTAACCACGTCTGACTCAGTCGAGCGTGTTCAACGTTTACCGCCAAATTATGGGGAAAATATTGTACCAAAACTCTCGGGATATCAAACACCGGTTCCCCGGGAGAGCTTTTGTCATCTTACCTAGTTGTTTTCTGCCATATGTCACTGTGGTACTCCTTCCAAGGAGACAGCTCTGAAGACCTGCAGGAACGGTAGGGTGCGCTCAGGAGCATGGCTACTGCAATGCTGAACATGGCAAGTTACAGGTTTACTTTAAAGCTGAGGTATTTGACATGACAAAATTGCCTGAAAAATTTTCATTTTTACCCTATTCGCCGATTTGCTTTAGCAGGTCGTGTAGCGCTGCACTAACTGTTTGGCTCGGCCAAGCAGTATTTCAAGACCCTGTGACACAATGCTCATTTCATTAGAATTCGCTTACCGATAGCCATTTCGATGAATTTAATAACTGCCTAGGTTGTGGCGCCTTTCAAGGCTTAATGAGGACGGTGTTGGTACCACAGGTCATCCGATGCAAGGCGGGAAAGGAATAGTGCCATGAGAAACTCGAATTATGCCGTTCATTGAGTGCTTTGGCATCATGGCATCATTTCAATGATATTTATTCCCCCGATATCTACCCCGGATTTTCTTTTGTTTCTGTGGTTTTTTTTACTATTCACGATCTCAATCCTTGTAGCTTTTGATAGTTATTGCTATCTACATTACGCAACGGCCCACCATGGCCGACTTTGGATCTCAGACGAGCCGTTACAACAGGCTCGTAATTGCATTCGTCGCCTTGGGCTCGCTGGTAGGTATTCTAACTAGTACCATGTTCTGAGACAGTCTTTATTTTTATTTTTGCTTTTGATATCATTTTCGACCTCTTCTTCTCTTCAATCCTTCTAACGGGTACTTCTATCTTAGACCTATGGTTACTCCGCATCGGTTATCAGTAGCACAATCGGTCAGCCAGGATGGTATTCCTTCTTCAAACTGCCCATGCAGGGCGAACCAGGATATGACACTGTGACTACCAATGCTATCGCAACTGCAAACGGTGTTTTCAGTGCCGGGGGTGCGGTCGGATCGCTCTTCATGATGTGGTCCTGTGAAGCATGGGGCCGCAAGGTTAATATCCAGCTTGGGTCTTTTCTTGCAATTTTGGGAGGTGTCTTACAGGGAGGTGCAGCGAACTTAAAGTATGTTATACCTCTGTGGAAAAATATCTTGTAGTTCTATGTATGATGCTTACTTTCCAATACGATGGCACTGACAATGGTGGTCAGGATGTTCCAAGCCGGTCGTTTCGTCTCCGGGACGTCCATCGGCATTCTTGTCACTGTCTGCCCTATGTACTTCGCGGAAATGTCCAGTCCATTCGTTCGGGGCTGGCTGGTAGGACACCATGCAATTTTCCTTGTTTTCGGATACATGCTGTCTGGCTGGGTCGGCTATGGGTGTTACTTCGCTACGGGCGTGAATCCGTCGTTTGCCTGGAGATTTCCCCTTTGCCTTCAAATCCTGAGTCCATTACTTCTGTTGATTGGCTCTCCATGGCTGCCCCGATCACCCAGGTGGCTAATCTCTAAAGGAAAGTATGACGAAGCTTGGGAGATCCTTCGCCGTCTCAGACAGTCAAAGGACGATCCTCAGGATCTCGTGGCGAAGGAGGAATTTTATCAGAGCAAGGAACAGGTGAAGCTCGAAGCAGAGAAACTCGCTGCTACCGGATCTAGCCTCTGGATGGCAGTGCTCAAGAAGAAGTCTTATCGGAAGAGAATGATTATTGGATTCTTGACCCAGTGGGGTGCTGAGTTTGGTGGTCCGCTTATCATTGTGAGTCTAGGTTTTGAGACCAGACTTTGCCTGGGGAATGAGGATAGCTAACTGATCTTGATCGTCAGAATAACTATGCTGTGATCCTCTATACTAACCTTGGAATGACTGGTCATATGCCTTTGTTGTTAAGCGCACTGTGGCTCACAACCGCAGGTATGTATTCATCGATAATTCATTCAGATGGGTACCACTCACTGACGATGCGTAAGGCCTGATCTACAATCCACTCGGGGCGTGGCTTCATGACAAGGTCAACTCCCGCCGAATGATGTACATTGTCGGTTTTGTGGGCATCTTCATCACCACGTCTTGCTTGGCTGCAATGACAGCCGAATACGCCGGCACAACAAACCGTGTTGGTAACGGGTTTGGCATATTCTTCATCTTCTTGTACCTAGCATTCCAGGGGTAAGTCAACTCCATTCCCTCTTTGTCCCTTCGCAAACGTTTCTGACATTCCTGCAACAGAACATTCTGCGATACAACGATGTACATTTACGTCTCTGAAATTTTCCCTACCGAGATCCGCCCTATTGGAATGGGTTTCTCGCTTTTCGGCCAGTTTGCATGTAAGCGCTACATGCTCTGACAATATGCCCATAGAGAGTCTAATGACGTCGTTTAGCAACCATCATCCTCCTCCAGACCGCGCCTATTGGCTTCGCTCGCGTAGGATGGAAATACTACCTAGTTGTGATCATCTGGTCCGCTTTTTTCATTCCCGGTAAGATAAAAGCTTCCTCATTCTTCTCTTTCCTTCATAAAGCGGTCAACATACCAATACCCATTTTCTTTGATAGTGATATACTTCTTCTTCCCCGAAACCGCCCGTCTGAGTCTGGAAGAAATAGCCAAGAACTTTGGCGAAGAGGTCGCCGTCGACATCACTACAGCGACGGAGGAGGAGAAGGTAAAGTTGGAAGAGACCGTTGCTTCGGGGGATATGATCAAGACGGGCAACTTACCTACAGCTGCGGAGGCGAAGGAGAGTGCCTAAGGCGCATAAATCGGTACAGGGAGGATGTTCCAGTGAAAACTAAAATGATAGGTTCAGATCTAAAAGATAAAGACGCGCGGAATACTCCGTACATGTTTTATATTTCAGTGTATTTATAGCAAAATGCAGAATATATATGTTTGTGTATTTGTGTAGTTTCAAAAGGATCTCCTTTTGAGCCTTTTCGAAGGCATAACACATTGGTGGGTTACTACACCCCAGTTCCGCCTATTAAGAACGAGCGGTGACATGGAGAAGTGAATCCAACATCCTCGTCTCATCTTCAAGCCATAGGAAGACAACAGGGCAATGAATCCATTTTAGCGCCGCCTGCAATTTCAGCCCTCTCGAGAGTAATCCAATATGGCTTCCTCAGTTCCTTTCTTTTGCTTCAACTCTTAGCTTTTGCTATTCTCATCATCCTCTGCTCCGAGGTAGGTTTCAAGAGTCAACTCACACTCCTACTAGATGGTAAGGAGTTAATGAGGGAAAGTGGGACTATCCGGAGTCTAGAGAAGAGACCGGCTTTCATCTTCCTCTAGCATCGTTAACAGAGTCGTTTTACTGGCTTTATTGGCACCCTATGGATTGTCTTTCGCCATCACGTGGTTGTGAAGTAAGGAGGCGATAGATCAAGTTGGCGATGGGTTTGGCGAGGATTCTTTGGACGTCCTTGTTGATGTGGCTGCTTATTAGACGTCAGACATTGACTGTTGTGACGTTTTGCTGGTCGTGTAGGGAGTTGCGAGCTGTAGCCGCTGAATTTTTTTGTCGTCACCGTTGCTTCTTCCGCCGAAAGCGGAACCTCAGCCCATCTTCACTGTCCGAATCTCTTGTTCGTGATCGCTTCCTTGCTCTCAATGCGGTGTGTTGCGAGGAAGGTTGAGATGTTGTCGTAGTATCATTTGACTCCTGCACGACAGACAGATGCCGCTCGGTTCTCGGGCTGTTGTTATAACTACGATGCTCGCTTCCAGCATCAAATGTCCTCCTATTAGCCTCTTCTAGTGGAACAATGATAGCTTGTATCCTATGCTGTACGCCACCGTCGCCTTTACGCCGGAACTTCTTAAAGTTCTTGCGACCGTTCCAGCGATCGTCCCATCGATCACCATCGCCATTTGATGGTCGATCCGGCCGCGCTTTTTCGAGAACTGGCATTTCCTCGATTATGGCAAGGTTTTGAATACGAGACAAGTCCATGCCATCAACAATCGCCGCAGTCTCTTCCTCTTCCCATCGTGCCATCGCAGCGCGATCCTCCGCTTCACGATGTTGCCGCACTGCTTTGATCACATCCAACTTTGGCCTTTTCGATCTAGGCGGTGGTTGCGGTGGCGGCGTAGCCGCACGGCGTGTTCGACCGTTGAAGTGCTGTTTCATAGCAGTGGCTCCTGGTAGAAGCTCTGACACTCCATCATCTACATCTGACATTTCTTGGTCTTGTACTGATTGATCTGGCATCGGATTCATGGCGGTAGTCTGGTCGTGTGTTAGATACTGGGCGCCTTAGCGTACACCGTTCATACATACCTGGGACGGCTCTTCAGGGACGTCTTCTGCCTCAAGAGTATAAACTGGAATAGACTCCATGTCAAACCCATCATCAAAATCTTTGAATTTAGGAACATAGGTTTGTTGCGTCCGTGTGCGCTTGGTAGGTCTGCGGCTCTTCTGAGTTTCTTCTGCTGTTACGGCCCGTGTCGAGGTAGCTGCAAGCCTGGAAGGTGCCAATTCTTCAGGGTCCTCCATCACTTGATCCTGCGATTCAGCAGTAGGTTCCTCCACAACCAACGGCTTGTAAGGTTTATAAAGTTTTGATGCATTGTTTCGCAAGATTGAATCTAAGAATTCGCCGGGTTCAATGGATCGTTGGCCTGTCAGGCGGCCAACTTCATTTTCAAAACGTTCAAACCATTTTTCATGCCTCTTCTTTCGAGGTTGTACTAATAAGACTCCGCCGCTACCGTCTAAATCACGAGCCAGCCCTTTATTACCAGAAGCGAGAGTCATATAGTCTATAAGCTCCTGTGGGGTAGTTTTTTCAGGTTCGACCTTGAACAAAAGCGCCTTGCCGTGGCCATTGGTAATCGGGCCTTGTAATTCTTCGAACCTTGAGCTATCGCAGAAGACAAAGGTATAACCTTCAAATACATCTAGTCTTTCCAGCTGAGGTTCATAGGCGGAATCGGGTAAGTCGGTTGTCTCCTTTCCCCGAGGTGGGAGGTGCTTCGTCGGATCTGGCCACGCCGCATCGAAGTCAAGTTCCAATGGACAGAGGGCCTCTTCCCGCTCGAGTTCGGTGGAAGTTGCAGCGTACACGAGATGCTCAATGTAAGCCGGGTCAACGATATGTTTTCCATTGATAAGCGCTTGCAATCCCTTGGCAGTGTTACGCTTTTTCTGCACAACATGAGTTGTTTTGTCGACAATATATGGAAGGATGGTTTTGATGTCCAGATCTTCTAGGCGCGATTGAGCATGGATTAAGGGGTCTTCTTCCTGTGAGCCGAACGAGAAGCTCAGGACAACGGGACACCATTTTATCCTATCAGATGTAGAGACATAAGTAGATAGGTCCAGTATTATTCGGAATAGAATGTATGCCACGTACTTTAGCGGATGCGGATATCTTCCCAGGACAACTGAATATTCATCCCGGCCGCTCAACTCCTTGGATGTGCCTTTGATAGTTTCACCATCGATGATGGTGCCACACTTTGACTTCTGATCGGTGAGGGTGAGCTTGGAGCGCGCGTGAATGTGCACCTACGTAATCTCTCAGCTTTAGGCCCATTATGAAATCGCGAGAACATACGCCGTCTCCCTGTTGAACACGTCCAACCTCAATGACGAGATGGTGTCTTGAAATGGTCGCGGAGTTGATTGCATGGGTAGCTATAAAAAATTTGTGTTACTCTGAAATCAGTTCCTTAGCACAGAACCAACAAATAGGGAGACATACTTCCAGCCTGGACCCGACCGAAGAGATATCTTTTTCCAGGTTTCAGCCATATCCTTTTCCCTGGTGGATGGTCAGCTCAAATAAGCTGGGAGAAGAGTTGACAGAACGCACCTCGAAGAAAGTCACCGTCTGATGACAGGATCCACATATTGACAAGATCACTTTACCATAGTCTGGGCTCCTCTCTATAGTTGGAGGACGGCAGCAGGGGATGGCTACTCTTTGCTCACCAAATCCCCTCGTGCCAATTCAGCGAAACACGCCGAGACGCGTGATCACGTGACAACCGGCCCACACCAAAACTAATTAAATTGGCCGAACACGTCGATCTCTCGCGTCAGAAAATCTGGAGATGTGGGAATGGGTCGGCAGCAGCGCAAATAGGGTCATTTCTGGAATTGTACTCCGTGCTGTCGATATTAGTTATGGCATCTTGTCCGCAGCACGATGAACGCGTCGGAGAATGCTGACGCTCCCCTACAACCCAGATCTAACGAATCTGACGAGACGCTGAAATATCACCTTCTGGGCCCCTCACTGACAAAGGCTGGCCAGGACAAAGTTGACCAACAGAAAGTACGTCGCAAGCGGTCATCCCTGCTGAGGGCTGCGGGATAACTTGAGCTAACGGGCGATCAGGTTTCAGAAATCATTTACGAAGCGTCCAAGGGGTCTAAATTCTTTAATCATGAAAGACTACGTGACCAGGCACTTACAGAGAAGATCAGTCGCATTTTGGCACAGAAAGAAAAGCTAGAGAAGCAGGATCTTACAGCACATACCCGTCGAGCGGACGAATACATTGCAGAACTGGAACTGAGTCGAGATCTCTCTCAGACTGTCGTTCACCTTGACTGCGATGCGTTCTTTGCCGCAGTGGAGGAGTTGGACCGACCGGAATTACGGAGTGTTCCGATGGCCGTGGGGAAAGGAGTCCTGACTACCTGCAATTATGTTGCCAGAAAGTACGGTTGCCGAAGTGGCATGGCAAGCTTTGTTGCTAAAAAGCTATGCCCGCAGCTGATTTGCCTCCCTCAAAATTATGCGAAATATACTGCTAAAGCCAAGGAGATTCGAGCCATTCTCGCCAATTATGATCCTCAATTTGAGAGTGCCAGCATCGATGAAGCATATTTGAACATCACGGAATACTGCCTGACCAACAATATGGAGCCACAAGAGGCCGTTCAGAAACTGCGGAACGAAATAGCAGTAGAGACGAAAATAACGGTCTCTGCGGGGATTGCTGCGAACGCTAAAATTGCGAAAATTGCATCTAACTGGAATAAACCTAATGGACAGTTTTACGTTCCCAGTGATCGCGCGGCCATCATGGAATTCATGGCTAAAATCCCAGTACGGAAAGTGAATGGCGTAGGACGGGTATTCGAGCGCGAACTAGAAGCGGTAGGAATTAAGATGTGCAGCGATATCTATTCGCTTAGGGGAATGTTGGCCACATTATTTGGACAAAAGGCATTCCAGTTTTTGATGCAGTGTTACTTGGGGCTTGGGAGAACGGACATTGCACCTGCTGAAGAGCGCCAAAGGAAAAGTGTTGGGACCGAAAGGACATTCCGAGATTTGGAAGGATTTGCCAGTCTTCAAGACAAACTCAAGTCAACTGCGATAGAGCTTGAACGAGACCTGCGTGTGGCTGAATTCAAAGGACGAACGCTAGTTCTAAAGATTAAGCTGCATACCTTCGAGATTATCTCAAGACAGGTGGTGACACCCAAACCCGTTTACCTTGCAGATGATCTCTACAAGTACGCACTCCCTTTACTGACAAAAATTAACAAAGAGACGCCAAATCTGAAGATTCGTTTAATGGGGCTTCGCTGCACCAATCTTGTTAGCACAAAGAGACCTGACATTAATTTCTTTGGTGTAAAGGGGGCAGGCGCACCCGAATCATTAATAGACTCGATGAGTGGTGCTTCTAATGAAAAAGTGATGTCTACCGAAGAAGAGTTTGAAGCTGCAGCCCGGGAGGAAAGAACTGAGGATCTTCAAAGCCTTGAAGCGCTGAGTCAAGACCTTGAATCATCTCATCAGGAGTTAGCTGAAGTCGCCGATAGCCCAGCTCAGCCAACAGCCAGCGAAAATCGGAGCACAAACGATGACACTTGGACATGTCCTATCTGCTCATGTCCACAACGAGCAGATGATATGGCGTTCAACCAACATGTGGACTTTTGCCTTTCAAAGGATACAATCAAAGAGGCCGTTGATATGACTTTAATCTATGATGAGACCATACCACCGCCTCAACGAAAGCGAGCGGGAGAGAACTTTTTTAATCGAGAATCCCCGCGTAAGCGCATGTTCTTCGGCTAATCTACTAGTGTTACCCCTAACGCCCCTTCGGAGCACATACAAGAGGTTGAAAAATGAGAGATGTATTTGGATCAGCGCTGCAATGTGTATATGGTGAATGTTAGGTAACGAGACATGAATGTCTAACCCGCTGTCTCCTCACAGTCACATTTGCTCGTCTCTTAAATTCGAATGTTATAGACTCTCGAATGCGCCCTGTTTGTTCAGCTAGGACGTGAGCTGCCCTAACTATAAGGTTCATTCAACCTGAGTTTTGTATCAGGGCTACACTTCTACTTTCGCAAGGCTGTCTGCAAACAAACACTTGCCAGACCTTTTGCACAGCAACGAGTCGGAATATTGTAAAGCCATTCGAAACGCGTACTATACCTAAATACCTGGAGGCTCCGGCTGAAGCTTTGTGAGCAGATGGAGAAGAGTGACCATGTAACGACACGCCCAAGTTCCGTGGACCCAATTAGGAGCAGCTGTGTCATATGTAATTCGGCAAAAATGGCATCAGCAAAAGGGTTCCTAAAGTTGGATAAAAGCCGTAGGGACCGCATCGTCGAGCATTCCAGGATCCGTGGTAGCTCGTCCGAGTTCCCGTGGAGCCCTCCGTCGCGTGGTGAGAGGGACGGGTGCCGCTAGACCACTTCGGGTTTAACCGCGAGGAGCATCGTGAAATGACGGCAACGCCTAATAATAATAACCTTATGGAGGGTGTGTCGCCCCAAACCTCTCCAACTCCCAAAGTGAATCCAATGGTTTGCGGGCTTCTGCTGTCTGAAAAGAGATAGACACGAAGTCTTCCATACCGCTATTGTGGGCTTTGGCCATCATGTTCCTTGCTTTGCCCAAAATCTCGCAATGTCATCCCGCGAGTTCACCTGCACTTCACATTGACTTTAATCTCAGGCGAAACAACAATGCGACCTCTGGATAAACAAAACAATCCCCCGAACAAACCTTTCACTCCATCAATGAGTGCAGCGTTCAACAGGACCGCCAAAGCACCCCTGACTCCTAAGCTAGCTGGATACAATTCCACCCACTCGAACCGCAAATTCCAACATGCCGATGCCCCTATTCCGAACACATCTCGCTCTTCAGAGAATACATCCCATGCGTCAGGAGGACTAAACTCCAATATCACACCCCGTTCGGGGTCAAGGAACTCCCGGAGAGATGCTCTCTCCGCTTCCTCCTCTCCATCAGGCACTCCATCCCACGCTCAGAATTCCATACGCTCTAACGTAGGCAACTCCTCTGAGAACCCCCTAACTCCGCGCGACAATATCGGCCCATCCTCACGATCATCCAGGCCGAAGAGTGTCGTAAATGGCTTACTGCACGGTAACCCGCCGTCTCGGCCGGTTTCATCATGCAGCGGTTCTCTTGGAGCCCCTATGTTTTTCCATGCCGATGACGCGCGATCTACAATTTCATCCCACGAAGCGGACCCCAAACAGTCTCACGGGAATATCCAGCCAAATGGACGTTATTTTACGTACGCAAACGGCGTAGCTGAAGGATCTCGCAGCTCTAGTGATCGGAGACCAGGGCCTACAAAAGGCAAAACGCAAAGCGGAGGAGTCCCTACGGCACTCCGGTCCCCAATCGCATCACCAAGATTGCAAAATGCACAGCCGCTCCTCTCCTCGCCCAAAGAACCTACAACGAACCCTCGAGAATCAAAACGATCCAGTTTGCATTCGTCACATCCTCAGGAGTCACCTCTGTTACAAACCCCGCGTTTAAATCCCACATCCCCGGGATCCAGGAGTCATTGTTCACATGTGAAATCTCCGAGTATAGATGGATCTCAATGCTTTCGCCAAACGCGGCCTCATATTACGAGTCCTACAAGTCACCCGATACTGGTAGCCGGTGATCATGGCAATGCTAGCTCTGCGTACCATAGCCCCCTTCCCGATAGCAACAGATCCTCAACATCCGGTGATATTCTACATCCTTTTCCGCGCGTTGGTAGTCCTTCTAAGGAGGATTCAAATAACAATCTTCAGAACGCCAATGAACTGGCAGCCAATGCACGAACGGAGCGGAAAGTTTTGGATCTGGAGATCAGCAATTCTTCTTTACTCGCTATAAATCGGACTTTGGAGAGAGAAATGAGGAGGCAGAACGCAGAACTACGGCGATATCGCCGATTGAGCCGCGCTGGTCGACTTTCCATCACCACCTCCCATCGCCCCGTGTCTGGGGGCGGGCTCTCTATCGTCAGTGAGACTGATAATGGAGCTGGTGACGAATCGTTTAATTCGCTCAATTATATCACCTCGGAATCCGAGAATGGCGCTTCTTCCTCCGAAGATGAAACGAGGAGTCCTGATGGGGGCGTTGAGGGTGAAGAGCAACCTCGCGCACGGGACGAGAAGCACCTCCTGGACGACCTTGCTAGACATCAACAGCTCCTGATAGACAGCCAGAAACTCAGCCAAAGTATAGGAAGGTGCCTAGAATGGACAGAAAGCTTAATTACAGAGGGTAGAAAAGCCCTCGAATATCAAGTTTACATCAGTGATATCGAGATCGGCGGTCGAGTGCTGGCTCATGACGACATCGACGAAGATTGGCAAGGGGGCAAGGCGTTGTTGAGCCCAACTACAGAAGTGCCTGGGTTTCCAGATGAGCGTTATATCGCCGATGACACTGTTTTGGCGAACTTGCCATTATCGGACGGTGATGTACATGAAGGCTGACAAGGCATCCCATGAAATGAACTCGAAAAATTATACCTTGTTATGCGGCTGCATCAGAGTCACTTTTTCTTTTCTCTTTTAATCCTATCCATTCATTTCCACAAACAGCTGGATAATTCTCTTTGGCTGTATAAACTCCCCATTGACTCCACTTTTTTGTTGGATATTCCCCATTCATTGGCATATGGCGCACATGCAGGAGAGCATTTTATTTCTTTTTTCCCTCAAAAAAAAATGGACAGCGGTTGGGCCTCTGGTGTCAGTTTTACCCCATAGTACTGATTATTTCGACCACAGTGGCGTATATTTTTTTTCTATTTCTGAGTGGTTGGGGTGGTGGACCGGACCCTCACAACAGAAGTAGTGAGAGTTCTATGTCTGGCACAGCTTCTTTGTTCCTCTTTTCACATCCTTTACCTTCATATCACCTTTTGTTCTCCATGTGTTAATTCTTGCGCATTGTACCATTACATCCACACTTTGCGTCACTACATCGCAGAAACAAGATACCCATAATTGTGCATATCTTTCCTTCCTGTGTCATGCTTGATGAGATTTAGAATGGGATAGAGATCAATTGATTTTCTCGTTGAAATGATGTTTGTCCTTGTTAGCAGTTTGCTATCATGACTTCAGACTTAAAGCCTGCAATTCCACATTATACATGCTGGAAGGACAGTCATGCAGCTTAGTGGTGTCAGGGTTCATACCAGAGCACGAGAAGAAAACTCGAGAAGTGAAGTCGTGAATCATCAGAAAATAACCTTATAAAACCAAAGCAAGCCAAAAATCAGTATCTCTCTATGGTGGGATATGCATAAATGAATTCAACGGTTAAAAAAAAAGAAAAACGTAGAGCCAATCGGGTTGGAACGCTTTGTCTCATTCTATCATAGCGTTGAAGCATCACCCCCTTATGACGGGGTGGCTTCCGGGTGTGATTCTGGTTTCGCCTTCTTGGGTTCTTTCTTCTTCTCGTTTTTACCCTTCTTCGACATTCCTTCTGCCATCAACTGTTCGAATGCCATATAGTCACCTTCTTCGTCGGGGTCACGTTCGGCCTGGTTCAGGGAAAAAATTAGCATGGGTTAGCCCAAAAGCCAAATTTACGGGAGGAGAATGTGGAGATCAAGTCATAGCATACCTGTTGGAAAATCTTTCCGCAAATAACGAGCGCTTGGGCACGTTCTACCCGCTTTTCCAATTTGACGGTTTTGTCATTGAGTATTTGATCACAAACATCACGCAGGACGCTCTGGATCTCGAACTTGCTTCCACGCCACGCAGCTGCTAAAATCTTGCCGGTGACTTTCTTTTCATACTCTGCTCTTTTCTCATCTGTCCAATCGTCGCCTCCTTTCTCTTCCAGCTTTGCCATTTCTTCCATGGTCATTTGTGCGTCAAGAGCAGTGGAGATAGTGGTCCAGGTTTCTTTCGCCAGAGTCCCCTTGTCCTTTAGTCGAGAGAAGAATCCAGAGATACCGAGGAATTTCTGCGATTTGAGGAAAGAAGTGGCTTTCTGGATGTAAGTGGTGCCGATGGCATGGAGGATTTCAAGCCCGAAGGATTCCATCTTGAGATTTTCAACTTCTAATTGAGTCTTCTGTTCGAAGGCATATGTGACGTCTTTGCCCTTGTCTGTCTCGGTCCATATGCTCAGACGATCTACTAGTTTTCTGGCGAGAGTGTCGACGCGTTCTTCTCTTTGTTTCTTTCTTTCGGCCTCGAATGCCGCCAGGCGTTCCTTCTGTTCCTTCGTAAGACCGCCCTTCTTCTTTTCTTTCTTCCTGAGTTCCTTTTCTTCCGGACTCAAGCCGGCGGCATCCATTCTCGCGTCCTCCTCTGATTTGTCCATAATTGCTTGCTGACCCCAAACACGTCGGGGAGTGCTGGTTCCCGATCCGGCTTCTATTGATCTCCCCGGCGCACTAGAGGAAACAGATTCTTTTTCTTTCTCATCGGTGACGTACGGTGGAGCTGGGGAGGTGCTGAGTCCCTGCGACGATTGCGCCTGCGGCGCTTCCTTTTCTTTCTCTTCGTGTATCTTGAGCTTCTCCTCTGCAGATTCAGCCAGATCGTCTTCCTCCATTTCTTGCATAGTAATATCCATTGTGCGTGTCAAATCCTTCATGAGGGATATTTCTCCGATCAAATCCACAAAAGCATCCCCTCCGAAGATCATACTGAAAAATTCGGCCGGATCCTCTGTCAGATATAAAATTAGCGTATTGCACATATTCATCCACAGAGCGTGAGTGCATACCGAATCCGCCTCCTGGTATCGCCTTCTCCTTGCCATATTTGTCGTATTGCTTTCGCAGTTCTTCATCGCTCAAGACTTGGTATGCTTCGCCAATCTGAAGTTTTGAACGCGTTAGTATACGGAGCAGACACGTAAATTAGCAGGGCAATTTACGGCTTGGAACCTCTCGTGAGCCGTCTCGTCATCCGGATTCTTATCTGCGACTCCTGGTCAGCTAGCCCTCCTAAACCCGGTAATAAAAGCGATCAAAACAAACCTGGATGGGTCGTAATGGCTAACTTTCGGTATGCCTTCTTAATCTCAAGTTCAGTGGCCGTGGGTGGCACACCTAAGATATCATAATATGCGGTATCCGCTACCATATTTGCAAGGATAAGCGTGGGGCACGGATGCGATATAGATCTCTGGGGTCGATATGTGATGCAATGGGGAATTGTCCGTCAGGTGTAAACGAGAAAAAGCCAGATTAAGTGAAGACTGGGGTTATTAATGAAGATGTAATGGACAATGGAAGAGAAAAGAAGCCGTTTGCAGGCAGCGATATTGGGGAGAAACGGTGGCAGCAAACACCGTCGTCATATGCTCGGCACAGCTGCTCAAAATTTCCTATTCTGCCCGGGGCTGTGATTGGCCAGGGAATATTATTATGTCATCACAGGGCGGGGCATTTTGTAGGCGGTGTATAGCGGCAGTACCGCTTTTGTTTTGTTTCTTGCTGCGCCACAGGGCGAACGTCGCCGCAGCAGTCACGTGAAAATGCAACTGAGAACGCGTTTGTCGGTTTGTCGGGGGGCGTTTTCTGCCATCTACTCCATGCGTTGTGCACCTGTCTTCGGAGCCTGCAAAAAAATCTGAGCTCAGGACCTCCATTTCTAAGAGGCTCAGCTGTCCCTTAGCTGGCTGAGGCCAGCCTAGCTAGAGCTCATTTTCTACGCTGCCCTTCGAACTACATTGCGTCACTTACGATTCTTTGGTAGGGCTCGACTCACATCCCATGCACCTCTCTGAACCGCCCTTTTCCCTCCTATGAACTTGCCTTCCCGCGCAACTATCACTACTGCACCCTCCACGAAACTGCCGAAAGACTGGCTTTGGATTCTCAACAAGATATGCCATAGTAGGCAGCGCTTTACCTGTCCGATATGCACATGGCTTGTTTTCAAATATTTTGCGCTGACTATTAGCATGCGGCCAAGCCGAAGTCAGACAGTATCCTATGACCCTGTCTGATTTTGAAAACTGGAACAATGCGCCTAGTGCCTATACCACGGGCTATATATTTTTTACATTTAAAGCCTGATCTCATGGCTTTTTTCTTCTGTCTAATTGAGCTTAGCCTCAAGCATCAATTTATGCACTTCGATATCTACTTACAATGAAGGTGTTGATACCCTCTATTGAAGCAATTTGATCAACATCATATCTCTCCTGATCTCTGTCCCTCCATCGAGGGGGCTATGCATTGCGCCAGCAGTTTCCAACTACAGTGAAGCGTCGTCGGATAGAGTTGTCGTGGACGAGCGAAAGATTCTCGATTCTATAGATGAAACGGAGGACAAAGTAAGATAGACGATGCCAGGCAGGGTCCATATTTGCTGTCCAAACCAAGGTTCTGAGAGCGTGTTGATTCGACGAAAACCAATGCGGGTGCCAAGGAGAAGATGGGAGAGGCATCTGCGGAGTATGTGCTCCAGCATAGGCTTCATGTCGCGGGCCAGATGCCTCTTTAGATAGCCTGTGTAATCGTCTTGTTAGAGCTGCAGGCGTTGGACTAGGCTCTTCTGCCTCTTGTTTTGAGACCGTTTTTCCACTTTGGTCAGCAGTAAATTTAATCAGGGTGCTAATGCATGGGATTCAACTGCATTTTTCTCACATTGACGGGCCATATAATATGTTTCTGGAATTCTGTCTAGCTTTTGATTCATCATAGCTACCATGGCCAAAGCTCCAGTGAAATGTGTTAAACGGCTGGATAACGATGACCAAACGCCAAGATGTGGCTTGGCTTGACTGATAGAGTTTCTGCCAATCAGCGTCTTCCTCACGCGCGGCCGGATTAGTAACAAGGTTCTTCGTACCTGCGCTGAACCGCCCAAACTTGCTCGCTAAATTCTGCTTTCGGGAAACCAAAATTCTTTTCTTCCTCCTCTTCATTTCCTTTCCCTTTCTCTTCCCCCTTCCTTCATCCACAACAACTTTGAGTCCCTCTCACCATCAATTCACCCTTCACAGTCAATGTCATAAATATTTTGTCTGTTTTGTATTTTTAGTGCTGTTGGTTCCTTTATCCATATGTAAATGTCCTCAGTTATGTTCATTTTAGTTTGAATGATTCCCCCTTTCGATCTGTTTTAATCTCAAGGGTAGGCTCCCAGCGAACCTCCTCCATAACCTCATCTTGTGACATATTCTCAATTGCTGCTCTTCTGGTGCCCTGCTGGTCATCATGGTTTCCTTCTCCCAAGCCCTCTATCTTCTCTCACACCCTCAAGAGCTCAGATCAATCATCCAATGGTAGGTATTTACAGCTCGAAATTGTAACACTACTCGCGTACACTGACGCCGCCTAGGAAAGTATGGCATGAGCCTGTCCACTCTAGAATCACAGGAAATGAAACAGAGAGCGAAAAGAAATGTTACCACTTCCTGAAACTCACGAGTCGCAGCTTCAGCGCTGTGATCATGGAGCTACATCCTGAGCTCCTTCTTCCTGTTTGCCTGTTTTACCTTATTCTTCGTGGTCTAGACACCATCGAAGATGATACCTCTATACCTCTGAAAGTTAAGGAGCCACTCCTTCGCAATTTCAAGGACTTCTTAGAGGTCGACGGGTGGACTTTTGATGGCAATCGGCCCGAAGAGAAAGACCGCGAACTGCTGGTTCAGTTCCATAACGTTATCACCGAATTTAAGAAAATAAAGCCCGCCTATAAGGCTATCATCAAGGATATCACTGATAGAATGAGCAATGGGATGGCTGATTACTGTCGAAAAGCCGAGTTTGAGAATGTAAATGTCAATACTGTGGAAGAATATGATCTTTACTGCTGGTATGTTGCTGGGCTTGTTGGTGAGGGCTTAACAAGACTATTCGTCGAGGCTGGATTTGCCCGGCCTCAGCTCCTCGAGCGTCCGCAGCTTTTCAAATCCATGGGTCTCTTTCTTCAAAAGACCAACATCATCCGCGATGTGCGAGAGGATGAAGACGATAATCGTCGTTTCTGGCCAAAGGAGATTTGGTCAAATCACGTCGATAAGTGGGAGGACCTCTTCAAGCCAGAAAATCGCGAAGCAGCCGTGAATTGTGGTGCAGAGATGATACTGAATGCCCTTGGGCACGTGGATGACTGTCTTTACTACCTGGCAGGATTAAAGGAGCAAAGCGTTTTCAACTTCTGTGCTATTCCCCAGTCCATGGCCATTGCCACTTTAGAGCTATGCTTCCGAAATCCAGCCATGTTTGACCGTAACATCAAAATTACAAAGGGCCAGGCTTGTCGACTGATGTGGCAGTCAACACAAAACGTTCGTGTTATATGTGATGTCTTCCGTCAATACGCTCGAGCAATACACAAAAAGAACACTCCAAAAGACCCGAACTTCCTCAGGGTTAGCATGGCTTGCGGAAAGGTTGGTGAACCTTTCGAATTTAGCATTTATCCTAGTTGTGTTGCTAATTTCTTTGCAGATCGAAAAATTCATCGAATCGATCTTCCCGACTCAATCCTTAGAAGATGCCAATCGGAGAGTAAGTAACAAGAAGAGTGCTGAAGATGCGAAAAGGGCTGCCGAGGCTGCTGAAGCCACACGGGATACTATCTTCATTGTTGTTTCACTCGTGGGTATACTAGTTGTTGTCTCTTCCCTCATGGTACGTCTTGAGTCCGCAGGCCTATCATGATATGTATCGTGCACTAATTCGCATTATGCAGTTTGGCGTCGCTTGGATGATGGGTGCACGGTTTGACTTAGCCTTCCAGGAACTTAAGAAAGGCAACTTTCGTCCTTCGCAACAAACCTTGCGACATGGCGAGCTTTAATCTCCTTCATGCCAAGATGTTGATACATCTTGTCAAGACATACACTTCTTCGATTCTTTCGGTGCCATTGTCTGGCCAATATTATGGTATTAATCTTAATTTTCCCGCTACCCTTCCATACATACATATTCAATTCGTTGTACGTTTGATGCTAATAATCCAACGATTTGCAACCCGTGCTATGCGCAACGCGCAACACCTTTTCCTAGTATTTTTTTTTTTTTTTTTTTTTTTTTTGCCAACGAACCAGCACTGATGTCAAATTGCAATCCGGCCTTTTCTCAATGGTTGTGGTTGTGCCGAAGACGTGCTAAGAGCAATGCTGTTGCATAGAAATGTGACCAGCCAATCCAGACGTACTGGATGCCCGTCCCACTGCTACCAATTGTTTTGGCTGCAGAATGGCGTGTATCTATTGAATATCTGGAAACATCTTTTTCTCTGGCACTGCTGTTATAGGGTAGGATCGGATTGGGCATCCAGCTGCCGATGATACCTTGCATGCAGTTGGTAAACATCAATCTTAGAAATTTATCTGGCATTGAAGCAGTCTCTCCTATGCTCCTTTCAATGTGTTGATTCTCCGCCTCCATGTGTGTTAATTTACGATTTACGCGAAACATGTAACGTTGCCTTATGGGCGCCACTGGACGTCCAGGCGTAGAGCGGCCGTTGACAAAGAATGTCAGTCGAGTTTCAGTGTGGAATTCCCGGCTGTGAGGTGGGGATCCCTGCCCCGAAAGTTAACCAGGCTGCTGATGTTTGGCTGCGATCACGTCCCTCCAGCCCGGAAGCGCGGTTTATATTGTCGACTTCTAGCTGTAAAATACAGCCCCATATTCGGCATCGGAGTTCCACCGCCACATCACATCCCGCACCTCTGTATATTTCGGATTTGTGGCTTTCATTTCGATAGCAGTAGGTGCACTACATCTCGGAGATGGTGTTGGATGCTGCTAGAGAGCCAAGGTAAGTAAGAACTTGATTTTTGTGGCTTCATGACTTGCATCTTCCCGAACACTTAGTAGATTGTTCCATGAAGAGGTCGCGTCTGGTTGCAATTGGGCACGGACGCTGATACAGGTACAGTACAATACGACTAATGCCGGTGGCGCCAAGAAGGTCGGCATGGCAGGAGAATTTACGCTGACCAGCCCAAAGTCAGCAAAGCTCCGATCGCCCCAACTCCGGTCGAGGAAACATCCGCCGTCGGCCTGATATCCCGCTCACTTTCTGCTCCCAAGCTTCTTGTTTCCATAGTATCCGTTGAATCAGTTCTATTGTTGAAAACTCGGGGACAAAGCGTATCCGTATGAGTGAGGTTTCTGTGCCGCAGCCGGCGCCGCCTACTACAACTGCCCCTGCTGCTGCCGTGCATAATAATGTCCCTACCACGGGGAAGGCTGGCGAAAGCCCGCCGCGTCTTCGAGCAGCGTCCGCCTGTGTTGCGTGCAATAAAAAGAAGGTAGATGATTTTAGATGTCATTCTCTTTCTAATTTACCATTTAATGGAAATTTTTGACCTCGTCGGGCGCTGATTCGATGGTATTTTCGGGCAGATACGGTGCATATACCCCGAAGGAGGTTCACAGTGTCTAAACTGTGCGAGGAACCACTGGACTTGCTCGTGAGTTCTCTCATCTCTTGCCCCCTAATTTAATGTTGAAATTTGGGGTCTGACATCCTTTTTCCTGTAGTCCCCGCGAGCGAAAACGCAAACGTCGCAAGACAGCTGCCGAACGTGAGGATGCCGTCTCGGGATCGAGAGCAACCACAAAAGTGGAAATAAGGCACGAGACTCCTAGCCTTGGGCCTCTGCGACGACCAAACTGGGACTCTGGCCATCTGCCATGGGATCAGCGGCGCTCGGTTGTTGCTGATGGACACCCTTCTCATCAATCGGAATCGTCGGCCGGTGCAGGTGCATCGGCTCACAATCAAACCCCTCCAACGTCTGCTGCTCAGGAATCGGAAGGATCGACATTGTATCCAAACGCAGCCTCATCAGGGTTCGCTCGACCGTCACAGCCAGCGCAAGACTCTCGTGCTTACGGCCCAAGTACTCCGAACTCGACGTACCTGGGTCGCTATGAGTATATTCGCGGGGAGGTTCCGGTCAATGAGGATCGAGCAAAGGCATATCCGGCCGTTGCGACAGAATCTCTTACCGAAGAAGATCTCAGAATTCTTCATCTGCAGCACGCATTCGATCTTCCACCACGGGCCGTCCGGGAGGGGCTCATAGACACCTTCATGAAGCGATGTTCGCCATGGATGCCCATCGTAGAACGGAGCTGGCTCACAGAGCGCACCGGCCATCAACCATCCATTTTATTGCTTCAGGCTGTCTTTCTCGCTGCAAGTAGAGTCTCCTCAGCGCCAGCTGTCACTGCTTACGCTTCGTCGAACGAATTTTATCGGCGAGCAAGAGCACTGTTTTGGTCTGGCTATGAGAAGAACACGATCACTGTCATCACCGCCGTGTGTATCCTGCATTGGTATAACCCCGAGGGTCCGGAACACGTATCTATTAATACGAGTGGCTTCTGGAATCGGATCGGGGTTGGCCTAGCTTATCAAATTGGGCTGCATAGAGAACCACCGCCGGGCCGAGATGCCCCCCTGCGTAGGAGGCTGTGGTGGACCCTATATGTAAGTATTGTATTTACTAATTTTGAGATTGGGATTAAGCTCGCGCTTATCTTATATGCTAAGCTCGGGTGCCTAACTGCCGATTACAGGCCCGAGACTGCTTAATATCTGCAGGACATGGTCGTCCTCGCGCTATTAATCCGGATGACAGTGAAGTCAAACCTTTAACCCCGGAAGACTTCTATGGCTGCAGTTCAAATGGACAGCTTTTCATCGTATATGTGGAAATTTCAGCCCTCCTTGGGGACCTCACGCAATGCTACTGTCGACGTAGTTTATCTCGTCAGAAGCGAGTAAATATTGAAAATGCACTTTACCGATGGACTCGAGAATTACCGGAGTCCCTTCGCCTATTCCGAAGATACAGCCCAACCGAGGGTGCACCTGCCCATAGGCTTGTACTGATGCCTTACAACTTTGAAGCTCGTCAGCTTCATGTCCCGTATTTTATCACCCTCGCAATCCTTTATCGACCAATCTCACCATCGAACCTCCCGTCAGCAGCTGCCATCCTTGCGTCGTCTTTCATTGCCGGCATATTTGAAGACTTTTTAGCACGCGATGAGATTCGATTTCTCGGCCCAATTTTCACTTTCTATCTCCTGGCGGCTGGAGTCGGTCTTATGTCGTGCTTCCCATACCCGCATCTCTGGGAGAGGGCGGAGCAGGACCTCCGCATCATTTATAATTCCCAAAAGGAACTCGCGAAGCGATGGCCCTCTGCCATCGGTAGCTTGAAGGCCATGCAGAGCATCCTTGATGAGGCGCCGAAAGTTGCCAGACCGCCAGATCGACCACAGCCAACTCCACTAACCCCCGACCAGCAGGCATGTTTCAGTGGTTTCGGAACAGACCTGTGTCGTCTTGGTGACGTTATGTTAGCGAATTACCCACACGAGATGGTGGAATCTGGTCGCCCAGAAGACGATCAATATGCCCGGACTGTTTCAGACATGATGACGGCAGGTATCCTGGCGGAGTTGAAAACACCGATGGACGCTGCTGCTGCGCTAGAAGAGTACCTCCCGTTAGCGACAGTGATTGACCACAATACGCAAGTGGCCATGGGAGGTGAAGCAACTGAAATAACCGATGAGATGTTGTATAATCAGTATGAAGGAATTGGGAACTGGCTCTTAAGAGACTGGGATTGGAACACTGACGTCGCATGGTGACGGAACGGACGTCGGTATATTCACGACCTGAGCCCAACACCCCGGCAGTGCACGGGCCATCTCGGTTCAAATGACTAATCTGCCAAGATCCCGATCACGTGGTATATCGGCACTTCCCCCACCCCGGTTCTTCGGCTCTTCGCTTGGTTCGGGCCGTGGGTGTGTTTTGGCTGCAGCAACACGAGCTACCCCAGATGTTCCACCAAGAGGCATGTAGCTTATGCGGGAACGAGTTGCATTGTTTATTCGCCCCGCTACCCCGTGAGCTCCCATACTTTGGTCCTTTTGAGGACTGTGTTCAACATCAACATATTCTATCATTAATTCCTCGCGCCCGCTAGTCCAACCGCAATAATCAATAATGGCAGATATTCCTAAGTTCCGCAATCTGAGCCTTACCCGACATGGCAATGTGTTCGTCATCACGATGCAAAAACCGCCAGAGAATAGGCTCAATTCCTGGTATTGTCAGGAAATTATTAGGGCGTTCCGCACAGTTCAGCGGATTCTGGGACCAGATTCCGAAGGAGCGGTAATCACAAGAGGCAGTGATGCCAAATTCTGGTGTACTGTATGATTATCAGGCGTTGTACCCAGAATCGAACACTAATGTTGCCTCTGTGAATCTCCAGGGCCTTGACTTGGATGAGCAAGATGAGAATCCCTTTGCAAATACCGATGGCTTCTATCCTGTACGTTCCGTGTCATAAACGAGTCAAACTTGTCGTCTTCTTGACATCTACTGATGGGTCAAAGATGCTCTACACGATCCTTGACTTCCCGTATCCAACTATCGCCCTCTTAACCGGTCACACCTTTGGCGGTGCCTGCCCTTTTGCGCTTTGCCATGACTACCGTGTCATGAATTCCAAACGAGGCTTCATCTCCATGCCTCCGGTTAATCTTGGTCTGCACTTTGACGGCATTGGGGCCCTGCCACGTTTGAAGCTCGGCCCGAAGGTTGCGCGAAAGATGTTGCTCGAAGCACATCGGTGGACGGGCAAGGAGGCTCTCCAGGATGGCATTGTGGATGCGATTGCGGAACCGGAGCAGATGTTTGATGTTTCCATGGACTTGGCCCAGAAGTGGGCGCCAAAGGCGAAGATGGGGTGAGTGTCTTTCCTAGAACGTTGATCCTGAAGATTTACTTGCTAATGACTGTGCGTCGTTTTGTAGGGTGTATGGTACTTTGCGGGCTGAACTGTGGGGAGAGGCAATTAAAAAGTTTCAGCGGATAAGTTATGTGCACAGTCGGGAGACAAGCACAGCGGCAAAAGTCAAGATTTGATGTAGTGGGATAAGTCCGAAACAAACTTCCAAGTCTAATAAGAACAGTACAGTGCAATTTTCTCACCAAAATTATAACATACTAGTAACAATCCATCTCGGGTGCGGGTCTTATATTTCTATTTATTCGCTGGTGAAAGTTCCTTGGAAAGTTTGAGGACTTACGCCACCGTGGTAGACTTGACTTCGAGCTGTAGCAAGCATTATCTTGAATTGAGGCTCTACTCTCCGACCTATCTGGACTGATGAAGAATAGTTTATCACATTCTCTCAACTGAGCCAGCAAAAAGTACTTCTAGAGGCCAGAACTCCTTGATGCACAAGTTGCTAATTCACCGACTATGACAACAGTTTCGCTCTAACTGACGATATGTGACAGGAGGAAAGCGTCCGATCACAATTTTCCTTGAGCCTGCCGGCCTGACTTCTCCCACACCTGCACCATCACATCATTCCTATAATTATCAGTGAAAAAACTTGGCCCTAATACCTTCTTCACCACTTTCCCTGTCGCACTCTTCGGCAGCTCTCCCTCCACAACTCTTAAAATCGTAGGCATCTTGTATCCGGCAAGCCTGCTCCTCAAATCCCTTCTCAAGTCATAAATAGTTAATTTCTTCCCCGCATTTCCATTACCTCTGCATCGGTATATCTTCTGATCATCGCGCAATGTCACCGCTGCAGCGATACGCTGACCATATTCGTCATCATCCACACCGACGACCATGACTTCACCAATGTACGGCAACGAGAGAACTTCTCGCTCAATATCCAAAGCAGAAATTTTATACCCGCCAGACTTTAAGATATCGATGGATGACCGTCCCATGATAAAATAGTTTCTTCCTTCGCGACGGGCTATATCGCCCGTCTTAAAGAATCCTTCCGCATCATGTGCCGCGGCTGTAGCGGTAGGATCATGCAAATATTTCGCAAACATCCAAGGACTCTTCACCAAGATCTCACCTTCATCCCCGTTAGAGAGTTTGATGGTGACGCCGGGAGCAAGATGGCCAACACTCCCCGCTGGTACATCCTCACAATCCAAAGGTGTTCTAAAGATCGCTCCTGCTTCCGTCGAGCCGTATCTCGTCAAAATCCGACTGTTTCCACCGAGAACCCCGCTCCAGAAGTTCTGCACGGGCTCTGGCAGCGCCGATGTGCCACAGAGTAAGATTCTCAATGACCTGGCGCCCTTGATGTACATATTCACCTCCTGCTCGGGAAGAAGCGCCAGTCTCTGTTCGTAGTACCGCATCATGCGCAAATATATGGTCGGAACGCCGGAAAATACGCTCACGCCGCCCTGTTTCCATCGCTCCCATAGCCATGGGATATCCACACCACCACTGCGGAATTCAACGCACGCACCCGCGAAGATGTAAGGAAGGAAATTAATCCCTACACCCGTGGCGTGATGCACTGGCAACACGTGCAAGATTACGTCTAACTCGGTGATATTGAAGTGGCTGTTGATTTCTTCCGAACAATCATGCAAGAAGGCACGTTTCATCACTGCACCTTTGGGGGGTCCAGTGGTGCCGGAGGTGAAAATCACAACGGCAGGGGCGTTGTCATCCAGGTACCGGCCGGTTGAGAGGCAAATTTCTTCTGGTGCGAGCGGAACGGGCTGAAAGGATGTCGCGATGGCTATGCAGCAAACGTCTAGGGTTTTCTCGGCCTTGATATGCTGGCTCAGTGAATCACCGAGGTTTCGACCGGCGGCGGAAGCAAGGACGGCAACACAGCGAGCTTTAAGCACAAAGTATGACGCCTCGCGGACGGGGAGGAGCAGAGCTAATTTGAGTTCTTGTTAGCATCTCCTCTCCATGCCGACCCGGATCTCCATATGGAGACACGGTCTCTAGGGGAGTAAGTCTAACATACTGATTGGCACCACCGCCGCTCCCAGCGCAACAATAGCCACAAATCCAACGGCATACTCGTAGCCTCCAGCGGCCAGCAATCCCACATACACTTCCTTACCCTCTTTCAAGTCCCTCGTCGCCTTCTCTCCTAAGCTTGCGCGTAGCGTATTTCTCAACGCAAGAACATCGGTGAGAAATTGGGTGTACGTCTTCTCAAATCCAAGATTCACATCCCGGACAGCCAGACGAGGCGGCTTGCGGTGCGCATGGCGGACCAGGCGTGAAAAGAAAGGTGATAAGGGGAGGATTGTATCTCCTTCGTGCGGAGGAATGAAAGATGTTCGGTCGAACTCCATGTCGGTGTACCTTGTCCGGAGGCGGAAACCACCTCCGATTGAACGGTATTCTTCCTTGGTCTAATCAGCCTCTTGGCACGCACACAACAGGCTACGCGGTCACTTAAAATTCAGTGTCAATGCAGGGTATCTTGTCAAGGGCACAATTCACCAAAGCCCGTTCATGGTTTGTTTTCTCGGCGATATAAGTAAAGCCGTCCTCTCTGATGAGCGACTATGGCCTGCATCATCCGGTTCCCACCTTGTCTATGGGTGCCCGCGCTGATAAACGCTCGCTCTTCTCGCTGCAGGCCATCGCTAGGGTAGCCGGAATCGGCAGTTCGGTACTTGTTCCTAGGTCTGGACAGGGCACGGGGCACCTCGTGCTGCATTTGCCGAGTAACTTTTTCACTTCGGAAGTCCCGAATGTTCTCGGCATTCCGGAGATTATGTAAGAAGGGCCTCGGGAAGTTTATTAGGCGGGCGGCCCGCTGTTTGGTGGAGCGGAATTTCAGACTTCAGAGTTGATCAGGATTTTCTTTGCTATTGTGGGAACAAAATTGGAAGGGGAATTATTCCCGGCACTCGGATGCCATCTAAGCCCCAGTAGCCCAATGGTAGGGCGTCAGACTTCTAATCTGAAGGTTGGCGGTTCGAGCCCGCCCTGGGGTGGCATATCTTCAAAAAATATTTTTTTGATTCAAATTTCCTCCGATTTCTTTTTTTGCAGCTATTACACAGTTCAATGCTTTCAGTGAATCCACGCCGAAATGGAGAAAGGCAAAGTGAAAGAGATCGAAAAGAGATGGCTCGCTAATCAGTACAACAGAGTGGTATATTAGGGTAAAATCAAGGTTGGATCAGAAGACGGAAAGGGAAAATGCATATGAAAAGGGGGGCCAGAAAACGTATAGCGGTATCTAGATGGGTAGGCTGGTTTTTCTAAGACTTTGATTTATCAGCAATGAACTCGTATGCGCTCGCTTTCATACTGCGAGGTCTACTTCGGGGAAATGCTCCCGTTCCCGTATGTGAATTGATGCCGTACTCGGGGAGGATCCCATCATCTAAAACTTCAAACTGGATCATCGGACGAGTGGCGTGAAGGGTTTCCAAAATCTCCTCGCTCCATAATCCTGTACAGGTGTTACCAACCAACTGGTAGTACGGATTGAGGAGTCCCCATATTGAGTCGAGGTCAATGTACCGGATTCTCATGAACTGTATGGCGGTTAGAGAATCAAGGGACTTGGCGGCGGCAATGATCAAATTCTCAAAAGAATTGATAAATGTCATATTGGTGATTCCAGAATGGTCAAGGGCAAATTTGAGGTTACCCTCCAACTTGGATTGCTCGCAACAACAAGCTTTTACAACCAAATCGATCGCTTTCAGCCTTGATCTCCTCTCGCTTTTTATCGTGGCAGCCCGTGCAACGTTAAATAAAGTGGAGCAAACCTTCCCCGTGAAGGTCAGTGATTCAAGTTGAGGGACAATATCTCCAAGAAGCCGGCACAGATGGCGCTCCACCTGGCACGCGCCCAACCATCGAGCCTGGGAATTGGTCTTGCTGCAAAATCCCTCAAGACTGATGTTTAGTCGGCTGAGTCCTCGCGGGAAGGTTGTCAGAATTTTCGATATTGTGGCTTGCGCCTCTCGTTTCGGTTTGGCATAAGTGCAGTTCCATTCGCGTATATTAGGTAGGGCAGAAACAATGTTGCACCAATGGTCATATTCTCGCATGATATTCCATGCACCTCTCATGATAAAAGTTTGAATATTGGGTAGGACCTCCAAACGTTGCTCATATGTCGAATCACTGCAGAAGTGCTTGATCATTGGAGGCTTCTTGCAATGACCACCTTCCAACGTGAGCATCTTGGCGTCGGGGAAGAAGCATGCGACATGATAGAAGATCTGCTGTAGGGTGGCATTGCGATTGGCGAACCTGAAATTGTGATTTGTACGACCATGTTCTATCCCATCAGTAACGCTCTGCAGCAATGCAATAGAGTCAGCGGGCGCTAGACTTTCTCCAGCATTGATTTCTCGGCGGCCTGACTGCAAGGCATGTGGTCTGGGCAGTCGGTCCCCCCAGACAGGAACCCAAATCTCAATATGGCGAACGTAGGGACCGAGATGTGGGTGGGAGCTGAACCACTCAGCGCTTTCCTGAAGGCCATCGGTTGTACCTTTGACTTGAACTAGACGGAGTCAGTTTGCGAAAGTGAAACACCACGAGATTATCAACTGAAAAAGCACTGACTGTGTCGATATATTCGTTCTTGTACAAGAGGCCTCCAAGAACGAGAAACCAAGGCAAGGTCAGATAGAGCCTTTCTTCGCGGGTGTCGTAGGGTCTTGCTCCAGCTAGACGCAGTGGATGATGCCGGAGTAACCGAGGCGAGCGCAGCGCCCCTCACGCCAAACAAATGATCCAAGACGGCTTCATGGATCTCGATCGGCAAGTCTTCAAACTGTAGCGGTGTGTGCTGCAGGTCCGACATCTCCAACTCGACTGAAATAGGTTGTGAAACAAAAGAATTTGACGATATTTCAAACGACTGAGATGATTGAAATGTGGTGCATGGCTTTGAGGGATGGTGGTCAAGCGGTGTAGGGGTAGAAGGAAGAGAGGGAGGGGGTTTGGAAAGAGGGTCGATGGTGATCAAATGAGAGGGCGGGACGGCGGAGAGCATCATTTCAGCCTTGCTAGTGCGTTGCGCATATATGGAAAGGTCACCGAAGGCAAACAATCGGTATCGCAGGAAGCAAGAGAATCTGTGATATTCCTAGCTGTTTCCATCGACTATTAGCAGATGGCCCGAGCTCTCACGATCAATTTCCTGATTGAGAATAAAATTTGGAATATTCATTTCGGGCAGAGCATCAACCGCAGCTCTCTGTCCCGCGGTCAGGACTTACACTACACCCTTTAAGACAAAAAGGAGCAAATTCTGGTTAATCAGGAAATTAGCGGGTATGGGAGATGATGTGAAAGTGCGGCAAGCAGAGACTCGTATGCCAATTTTAACGAGGAACGTGCTGGGGTATCTTGACGACCAGGCGGGTGCGAGACAAAAGAAGACAAACGGGGAAATGAAGAGGCAGAGAGCTGGAGAAAGGTCAGCGAAAGAAACAAAGGGGCCGCCAAAAATGCAGATTTCACAGGACAAGTGAGGGAGTCGAAATCGGCACCAGTCAATGACGAGGACGCGGAGAAAGGGGGTGTGGTGAAGTGACGATGATGATGTGACGGTCAACGATGATGCTGAGAAGGCTGTGAGGGGAGGCTTGGCGGCCAGATTCTGCTGCCCAGCTGCTATCCTGCCGCCCAATAGTGGCACATGGCGACCGTGACTGCTGATTGGCTGACATCATTATAACTCATCTCGCCAGACCGAATATTAGCACTGTCGTGATCACTCGACGACATTAATCGGACGTGCAGGACAGGCTGGCCGAAAGGAGTCGACAAGCCGCACCAGCAGACCTTATTCCATTAGCCTATCCCGCAGATGTTCCCCTACCTTGCACCCACTTCGCTCCGAGAAATGCCAGGCAGTCTTTGCTCAACGGTACAAGGGTTTGAACAACATTCCGTAAGTGCGCCAGGCGGTTGAAGCAAGGGTTGAATGTTCAATTAAACCTGGCTGCAGGGGTCTGGGGTTCCGGAACAGGGCGCCACCCCAACCACGCGCCTTTCAGGGGTTATGTGCCAGGCGTTTAATTGTGATAAGCTTCGGAAAGCCAAGAAGAACCCGAACGGTAAGATGGCCGAGCGGTCCAAGGCGCCAGGTTAAGGTCCTGGTAGGGGAAACCCTGCGTGAGTTCGAATCTCACTCTTATCAATATTTCTTTTTTTGGTGTTTTCTCATCTTCACATGGAGAGCAAAAATTTTCTCGGTCAAGCGTGGTGTTTTTGCAGTTGGGTTCGGAGGAAAATGGGGATGCTGCTGAGCATGCCACGCAAGGTCATGGTCTATTGTGTCCTGCCGGATGATCTGCCACACAAAACCAATCTTCTTTCTATTATTTTCCCGATCGGTATGAAATCGTGCCTTCGACAATCCAATCCCTACACTCTTACTTATTTCGAGACAGGTGAACCTGCATATCTCTTCAAGATACGGAGTACAACAGAGATAGTGGTTTGCCAGCATCTTGGGCTATAGGAGTGGCACAGGCTACAATGTACTGTACATATTGTCCGGCCCCTCCACAAATGCCGAAAGAGTTCAGCAGGTCGCGACAGGTGAGGGAGGCCCTGACAACTACTTCACACATTCAAGATCCTTTCCTTCCCCGTGCGAATAGGGTAGATAGGTACAGCAAGTAAGTCCCAGCTTCCAACCGCTCCATCACAATTTGAACCACCGGGAGACAGCCGCCAGTTGCCGCAAGACTTGCATCCGAACGACCCCAGACTATAAAGATCTAAAGACTAGACTTTCAAATGCTGTTAAGAACTCCTGCACAACAGCAAACTGGCAACATGGAGTCTGAATCAATTTCATACAGATTCAGAAGGCCAAGGACAATCTCGGCACAGTATACAAGATAAAGCTGGAGGGAAGTTTTATTCTGATGGAAACAGGGAATTGACTATAACCTAAGAAGGTAGAGCACCCTTTCAATTGGACTAGGACCACGCGCACCATCACAGGAATTATGCACCACTGCCATCTATTCTATGACAGTGGTTTCCATTAATCCTTCTTTTGTGATTTTGGTGCTGGCCTTGGTTTCATGGTTAATGGAGGGACGATACATCCCCACATCAGACACAATGATGCCGAGGATCCATACATTAATAGTGAAAAATACCAGGCAGGAAACAAACAAACCCGGCATAAATGTGGATATACCCAAAAATTCCAACCTGAACCCTTGCTGAAGCCAAAGAGCCTAGGATTGGAGAGTGAGCTTGTGCTTCACAACATCAGACACTGGAATTAGCCCTCATCACATACCTGCGCGGCAGCCCAGAGTGCTGCAGAAGTAGCTCCGAGGATAGGATGTGCTATCAACGAAGAATATGGGAGGTATAGCGGTAGGAATATAATGTACCACAGGAAATACTTTTTTTTTCAATTAAAATCAGCGGAATCCTCTCTCACAGCCATTGGATGAGAGAACAAAATAGAACCTACCTGGCTAGTGCACACTTTGTTGAACGCAACGAATGCAAATGTTTGGGCAAGCATGCTTCCAGCAAGGTCCTTCTTTGCCAGCACAAGTGGAATCAGAATAGCAGACAGGCTGAGTTGTGGAATGAATGCGAGCGACTCGAAATTATTCCCGGGGATGCCCTTGGCGGTGTTTGAAGATGATAGATACAGCAACATGTTGTATGGCGAAAAGTTGTGCCGGTGGTCCACGCGAGTGAGATGGTGTAAAAACGTATGTTGCAAAAATGGGAACCCGTAAATCATATACATCGCGACATTCAATGCTGTAAACACGCCCAAAGCCACCAACGTGAGGGTAATTCGTTCAACAGTAGCGAACCGCAAACCCCAGGCAATCAAGCTAGGGTTTTTGCTTGAATCTTTGTTCACCCTTTCAGACTGCTCTGGGTTATCCAGATACCAGATAATTGCCGGCCCATAAATGAACGGATAAATCTTAAAATGCACTCCCAATCCAAGCAGACATCCTGCTAGGATTATTCTCCTTTGCAAAACCGCCCACAGCAGTGCAATAACCATCACTCCCAACAGGCCTTCCGAGCTGCCCCTTGTACTGATCGTCGCTACCATAGGATTCAGCAACCATATACTGGCGTACTTTAACGCCCGCGTCACATCCATGGCTTGCTGATTCTTCATAATCAACACCTGGACGATCAACCAGCCCGCTACAATATCCGCAAATGCAAATAATGCCTTGCCAAACGAGAACCATAGGCTACCCAGCGGTCCAGATCCCGCCCATGCAGTTGGCACAAGCAACCACGCGAGCAAGGGCGTATACCTGTACGTAGCTCTGTCATACGGCGATTTGCCTCTTGACACAAACCTGGCAGCGTCGGTGAAGACGTAGTAATCGATATCTGTGTATTTCATGGCAGAATGGGCGTCTTGATAGAGCCCGTAGAACAACAGGGCTACGCGCAATATGATTGCGGCAGTGAACACCCGAGATGGGGAGGCAAAAAATGACGAAGATGATGCCATGACAGCAACCGCCTTCTCCAGATATAATGTCTTAAATTTATGATGGCCTCTCAACCGAACAGGAAACGTCCCTCAAACCATGAAAAGTTTCTAGTTGCTGTTGTCTCTCTATTGCTCCCGAGCGATGGATCGTAACAGAGATCTCAAGGTGCTGCGACAACAAATCACAGGGTCAGCTCTGACTGGACATCATACCCAGTAAAATCAGGGTAAATGTATGAGAAGGACTGAATCAAAGATAAGCGAGAACAGTGCAATTGAACAATGTACAATGCGAACTTGATCTGTTGGCTTGGAAGTTGAACGTCGTTGCGTTTGGTGGATGACTAAGCACACCGAAGGGGATCACCCTTTTCCTCAGGGGCTAACCACGTACTCCGTACACATACAGAGAATGCACTGATGACGACAAAGTTATGCAGGCTGTCCTTTGGGTGTCCAGTATTCACTGCCAGCTATCCACTGCGTGAGATGTCAGAATATTGAGAGTATACATAGCATCCGTCATCGCATAGCGTGACTACACTGAATTTTGACTGAAGTCAAAATCTATCGCCTTTTACAAGATATCACGGAATGAATCATTTCTCTGCTTGTAGTTCGACGGCAGCCACATATTGTATACCGCTTAACTAAAACCGTACAATATTCGGGGTCTCTAATCCGGTATCATACACTCCAACCCTTTCTCCAGCCGCGGGAGGTTCATGATCAAGAGGCTTAAGATACTGTTGACCCTGGCCAAACATCCCCACAGCGGGGGGTTGTTGAGTATAAAAATCCTCTTGGACGCTCGACCAGATGTTATTATCCCCCCATGTAATATAATCCAACATTTGCTGCGGTGAGGGCTGTATATATGGTGCAATATTCTGGTAACTAGGGAACGCAGCATTGCTAAGGACGGCTGTTTGGTCCATAGTGTGAATAGAAGGCGCGGTGTTTGATGTTTCCGATGAAGCGGTGGCAGACTGATCACTCATGCCGGCTGTGTGGGTGTCGCTTCCAGATGTACAGCTGCCGGCGCTGGTGTGGCGTGGTCGCTGGCTAGTTTCTAGGATTCGAGAGACTACCTCCAACGTTCTCTTGGCAGTTGGACTCCAGTTCTCCAAGCGCTCAAGGGCAACAATCGCCGTTTCAACTTGGTTTCTGCAGCTATCCGACGTTGCGTGCGCATGGGTGGCGGTTCCATCAGCAATAAAAAGCCCAAGGAGCGGAACTAGTGTGGCTTGGAAGAGGAGCCAAACAGCATTCCATCCTGTCATTTGGTTCAAGCGAGTAGTTGAAGCGACATCCCGAATTGTTTCATTAGCGACCATCCTGCATCTTTCAATAGCATATCTCTCTTCTGTTCTGAGTGCAACATAGGGGATACGACGCATCGCGTAGCTTAGCAAGACAGGACGATGAAGAAGAATACGCTGGCTTTGATACCGCCATCGCATCACGGTTCGCGTTGTAGAAACCGGATCTGCACTGGGTTCATGATCCTTTAGGAGCGGAGGAAGATTGTCATACCATTCGACCAACTGATTATCGAGACTGACCATTTCTTGATAGCTGACAATCGGAGAAGCTGCAAGAGCGTCTCCCACCTGAGTAGCTATTTTGCAAAACCGAGTGTTTTCTACTAAGGAAAGCGCATGAAAGGCAAGTTCCTAGCACATTTCGTCAGAATCGAGACCAGTCCTGCAAACAAAGAAGATCTATATACCTTGTTTCCGTGGTTATGTGGGAGTTTGGCTGTAATTCCAGGGCCCCACCGTCCCATACTTGGTCTACCCAACGTCATATAGCCCCAAGTGTCAAGGCAGAAGAGAGACCACCAGATCCTTCTTCGTAAATCGACAGAGAATTTTCTTTGGCTGTTTTGGCTAGCAGCTTCCTGATTTCCAATGAATTCTTTATGCAGACCTAGAACAGTGGCCATACGCAGAGCAACTGCCATAAGAGAATGTGCAAGGTTGGGTTGGCTCATATAATGTAAGTAATGGCCTCCCATTAAGGCAAGGGTCTGGATGGTCTCTAAATGCGGATTCCCAAGGGTATCCAAACTCAAATAGTGTCTAGCTTTTAGATAGTAGGACTCGTGGGATGTATCATCGGCCGTGTATGCAGCAATACTTCCAAGTGCAAAAACAATATTTTGGAGTGCTAGCCAACGCGGATCGGACCTTTTACGAACCAGGACAGTTTCGCGGAATAAGTGCTCATCCAGCAATGGAGCGAAGGAGTGGAAGTATGCAAAGTACGCGTTGGTAAGCTCCATGGGATTTACTTCCAGATGCCCAGCCGTGGAAGGTGGGGGCTGCAAGGACCAAGAGCAGTTATCCGGGAGAGGTTGTTTCTCCCGTTTCGCGAAGGGTTGCGGATCGGGAGCTCTGGAGAAATGCTGGGAGCTCTCGGGATCAATCCACATTATTACCCGCATAACAGCATTCACCGAAGATATCCCCAAGTATGTTGAGGGCCGTTTTGTTGATAAGGACAACGCGTTGACATCGTCGGACACAGCGGCGACGAGATCTGGGCTCCGGCATGTACGACTCTCGGTGGAATCATCGGGCATTGTCTGGAGGGATTCTAGGTTTTCATCTTCTGGGGGGAGAGGGAGGACATGGTTATCGACAGACGGTGGGGGCTTGGACACGGGAACAGGAAGAATTTCGGACTGCGGTTGGGTTCTCGAGGCCAGCTCTAGAAGGCGTTCGCGGGGGAGGTTGGAGAGAGATTGCAAAGGGATGGACGGAAAGAGTTTCTCAAACACGACTCGATACTCCTCGACGGTGGAAGATAGCTTTTCGACATGCCTATGGATATTGAGTGATCTATATCAGGACATGGTGGAGAGCAGCCGGTAGCGACGAGTCACAGGAGACCACGATCAAGGTCAAAAAGAAAATCAATTATTACAGAAGAGGGGTTGGAGAAATACCCAAGAGCATGACATTCCCCGGTGGTTATGATCGCCGTACCAAGACTTCAGCGAGAATGAACGAATGAAAACAGGAAGTGGATACCTTCTGGACGGGCGAGGATCCGAGTAATGACACAGATCAGTCTTTTTATACCACTGGCACGCCTCGCACGGCTGCTCTCCATCGCAGCGAATCTTGCGGCGTCGACATTGTTCGCAGGCACGCACCGTCGAGGATCTTTTTCCGCTCTTGCCACGGCCCTCGCGGTGACTCCGGGCCTTATCGGGATTCTCGAATCCTTCGAAAATATGGAACATGGATGCGATCAGGAGTCGACCGCTCTGGGCGGAGTGATTAACAGGGACGAAGATGGGCAAGGCGCCGGGGTGAAGGGAGTAGTATCCATAGACTTTAAAGTGCTTGAAAGGATTGCGAAAGAGCTAACCACAAAGCGGCCTCATGGAAGTAGCCAAGGTTGTCGCCACTAGTCAAGCCTTCCAGCAGCCCTTCATCCTCCCTCCATGCCGTTGCGTGATAATGAAATAATACAAACTAACTACACTAGCACCAAGCCATCCTGATTTTAGACCCAATCGTCAAGGTCTTGGGAGTTTGCTTGGGTCCGGAGCATGGGGCGCGGATAATATGCTGCTCGACTACGATGATGAATTTGACTCATTATTAGCCCTGAGTTACCGCCTTTTCTTCTCTGCCTCCACGTGGATTTTGAACTCCCGGGAGGACGACTCCGTCCTCCTCGTCGTCGGTTATGCTGAAGCGCTTATCCAATCTGCGATCCATGACGCCTCCCGTAATTTCCTTTCTCCGGCTCCGGATAAATCACGTGACTTTCGGATAAATAGATCCCGACGGCGGACGGCGTCAACCAGAGCGGACAGATCAGTGGACCTCGTGAAGGTCACGTGATGCTGACTAAAGAGGTCCAACCTTAAGTACTATAAATACCATACGTGTACCTCTGCTGTTTGAATTTTCAAATTATTTACAGTTTTCTTCACATACATTAATTGATTGGGAATTGATTGTCAATTGATTAGAAAACGGTTTCTAATCAATTGGCAACCGATTAGTAGCCGCTTGCCAACCAATTATAGAATAACCTACCTTTGCCTGAAAGCAGTCCTTTACCCGGCAGAAGACCCCATAGTGCAGAACAACAGACCCCAGCATCTGTATAATCAGTTATTAACTGATTGGTAACTGATTAGCAAATGATTGTGTTACTCACTGTTGTGTACTCAGGCAGGACAATCTCTCCACTGGCAACACCCTCAAGATACTGTTGGTAGTAGGCCTATCAATTCAATCATTTTTTAATCAATTTTCATCAGATTCCATCAAAACAACACATTTAACAGCTAAATCTACTCACATTATCGCGTAAATGCTTGGTAAGGGTAAGAAAAAAATCTTACGTGACTTGTTTTCAAGAGAGGTGCGCTCTGCTTAATAAACACCACGTGACCTTTACGAGGTCCACCGTGGCTTACATAAGTGGTCCGGGTCATCTGTGTCCTGCCTAGCGAACTGGCTTGTGGAACGCCAAGGGAACTACTCCGTACTCCGTAGTTAATAACCCACCAGTCTCTATCTTGGCATGACGAACGGCTGGCGACCTTCCCAAACCAGACAGCTACGACCCGGCAGCCCGTCGTGCTTACAACGATGGCAGGCAACAAGCGGTCGTGGGAAGGGAATTTGATCCAGAGACCACAGAACGACAAAGATATGGCGGATACTGAACAAACCTCTCCGGTTCAATCCTTGTTTATGTACTTCCGGAACGAGTTGGATGAGCACCACGACCGCCGGGAGCGAATCATCAAGGTGTCGCGCGACGTCACGGCATTGAGCAAGAAGATGTACGTAGTCCGAAATTTACTGATTAAATTTAGCTACGGAGTTACTGATCATTTAAATGTAGCATCTTCTCCTTACACAGGTAGAAATCCCGATCGCGCCAAGGGACGAAATACACCCATACCTTTCGTCCAAAGCAGAGTCAGTTATTGACGCACTCTCCCCAGAATTCGAAACCTAAACACTCCAATCCCAAAATCCATCGCCAAGGAAAATGCCGACCGTTTCTCTCAGATTGACACCCTTTTCAAATCCATAGCCGCTGATGTCTCCGGCCTCAATGCCTGGCGATACCAACACCAGACAACCTGGGGGGTGCAGGAATACATCGAAGCCCTCTCCTTCCAACACTATATCGAAAAGCAGCGACTAATCACCCTCGAGGAAGTAAGAAGTTCTCTGCCGCCAGAGATTCTGGTTACAGAGTCGGATTATGTGTTGGGATTGTTTGATTTGACGGGAGAACTGATGAGATTTGCCATCACGGCGATGAGCATGGGAGGGACCCGTCCGCGGGATACGTTGGCGAGTGCAAATGTTGATGGGCCGAGTGATGTGTGCGGGTCGGGTACGTCGGTGGAAGGAATCATGGTTGATCTACGGGAGCTGCGGGCGATGTTTGAGAAGCTGAATGTTCCGCGAAATCATTCCTTGATGAAGGATTTGGGTAAGAAGATGGAAGTTATGCAGGCGAGCGTGGAGAAGGTTGAGAAGGCTGCATACGGTTTGCTGGTTCGCGGGAAAGAGCGGCCTCAGGGTTGGATGCCGGATCTCTCGTCGAGTTCGGCGCCGGTGGAGAGTTATTGATAATTGGGCTGTCGGTGGGCGAGTGTTCTGGGTTGGCTGGTTTTTACGATATTCTTACGGAGGACTGCTATGAATGTCCTATGAATGTTAATGTAATGGGCCGAAAATGATATCAGATCCACATGTCGAATATCATCTAATTCCTTCAGGTCATCAATCCATAATAATAATTATCGCAGAAGCATGAACCAAAGTCATCTCAACCTATCCCCATTGCCATATATTCTGTTTCTGTAGCGAAACCATTACCAGGGTCAAAAAGAATCCTCCAAAAAGAACGCCCCAACGCATACAAGAGCCAATTGACACCAATTAATTCAAACACTTGCACCTCATCACACCTTCCTCGGATCCTCTTCCTCATCCAAAATCCCGGACTTAATCAAGTCCTCCGGCTTTGGCCGGTTTTGGATCTTGTGCTCCAACGAGTCCGCCACCATATGTCTTTCCAATTCTTTGGCATGGGCCTGCAGGGCCGGAGCGGCGGTGGAGGATGGAAGGATGTTGCCTACAAATGGCGTTATTAGCAGTGCATAAGATATATGTTATGTATGTACTAAGTCATCTAGGATGACTAGGGTGGTGGTGGCGGTGGGCGCACGTTCGATAAGAGTATCTCTATCCGGTCTCTTTTCTAGATGCCGCTTGAGGCTGTCCATGGCGCGATGGCGAGCGAGTTCGTGCTGTGCAGCTTGGAGGGATCTAAATATTCGGGTCCCATACAGGGGGATGTGCTTAGCATTGACGTGCCGCTTTTGTTTGTAAAGGGGCTACTTCTGTGCAGTACGAACGGCTGAGACGTACGGTGCAGCGTTTGTGTCCAGCAGGATATGTCTGTCCTTGAGCTCCTGGGGGTTCGGACGGCGCTGGAGATATTTCTCCAGCGAGTTGCGCCGCTCTAGGGTCGGCGAAATAGGAGACTCATCGACACGCGGGGAGTCAGTCATGGTGCGGCAGCTCGCTATAGAGGACGTTCGGAGCGAAAATACGACAGGGGTTACTGGCAGTTATGATGAAGTAGATTGCCCCTTACGGCGATAATTTCTATAAATACGGTGTACAGAGAGAAGGCGAGGTACAGATCGTGTTTTATAGCTTGGATGAATTGAGGGTTGTTTGTGCACACGCCACTTTACGGCGATGAATGACGATGCCGTTGGTGGTCATGTTGCCCCGCTCCGGTTGCCCTGTGACGCCTAGAGCCTGCGGGGCGACCGGCCGCGCCCTGTGCTTGTGGCAGGGGTGCTCGCCCAGGCAACGAGCAGTCCCAAAAAAAAAAAAAAAAGGTACTACGTACTCCGTATTCCGTAAAAATAAAACATAAATGAAACACTCAAACTAAGGGCATCCCACGCGCACAGCATGTCACTTGCAATGCTGTTTAACATCAAAGAGAGTCATCCAGGCTGTGCTCTGAGGAAGTTCCAATAGTTAAGCAAATAGGAATCGATATTGACTTGATTCTCTGATCACCTTTTTACGCTACAAGATCACTTGAATACAGATCTTTTGTTCCAACATATGTACTCCGTCTGGGGTACTCCATAATCTGTTTTTATTTGATGCGCACGGGCTTGCAAAGGGCTCCGCGATGACACCCCGTCGATAAATGGATATACAGTCCCAGCCTGCTGAATCCTTTTCTTCACAGACACCTGAACACTCCGTATTGGTGTACTTTCTCAAGGACTCAAGCGGGGCTAGTGAGCTCAATGAGAGCCGTGTGTGTATCCGTCACTTCAACTACCAAATGAAAAAGGGGGCGAAACAAAGAATCTCCAGGCTTGCTGGATCTAGGCTTACATTGGAAGAGCTTGTGAAGCTCCGACTTCGATGCCCAATCCTATCTAGCCCACTACAAAAGTGGACGTCGGCTGACATGTTTGAAATTCCCGTGATTTACTCCTTTTTGATGTGAACTGCCCCGTGTCGCTGTTGGTACTGTCCCTGAAGTTCTTTTGATCGATTTACCCTGCCTCGGAGCCTCTCTTGGGCAGGCTCCCCCAAGAGTGCAAAAAAGATGATCCTTTCACCAGAGAGGATTCCTTAAGCAAGCTCACCGCCTGAAAGAACAATGTGGGCCTAGGTAAGGCATGACTTTGTCCAGTCGTTTTATCGTCTTCCAGCAGCTTGATCGAAGTTGCCTTGATACAAACAAATAATATTATTGGTGAACAATCCCATCGATGATGGACACGAGGAGAAACTCGACGCTACGGGTGCTGTGAGCAGTTGGCAGCTGAGCAGCTGATTAGCGGTTGAATAAATACCCCGCACTTTAAGCCCTTCATATATAGCCTCCCGCGCGCGGAATCTCCAACATCGGTCATACATTCGCATAGCTGTCGCTTGGAACACTAAGACCACTTATTAAATTTACCCAATAATAAAGCCTACTATTCAACAAGCTCCTCCAGCAATGGCCACAAACAGTCAACTTACCATCAACCAAGGCCACAGCAGCTGCCCTGCTTGCGGTGCCGGCATTTCGGGTGATTCGAAGACCTGCAATTCTTGTGGAAAAGTATGCCGTTCCTCGGTTTATTTGCTTCTCCTTATATTCCTCTTCCGCCTAAATCGAGCTTCCATAGTGCTAATATGTGATTTGTCCGTTCAGACTTGCCCGAATTAAGACATCGAACGACCCAGCGATTCCCATACCGAAAGGACGATTTACCGTAGCGCAGTTTTCGGAGATATGGAAGCCTATCCGGCTTCTTTCTATAGGGAAGGATGGGACGATGGTCGATGAATTTAGGGAGCCAACACCCAGTTGAAGCGAGTTGTCAGCCAGTGATTTCGAGCTCAGGAAATACGATGTGGGAGCGCAGCTCATTGTTGATATTCCATTGCAGTGCTGCTAGAGTAGGACCCTGACCAGCTATTCCGTGAAGAGCGGCAGTAGTATTTATGCGAAGTCACAAACTATTTCATATTTAAGCATGCTAATACCTTTAATACACCATTTTCCTTTGGGAATGGCGAAAGTGTAGATCATGTCGAGAAGTTCTCCTGATAGCTTGAAGAACATCAAAGCCGAGGGTGCATCTTTCCGATTCGATTTGCAGCTACTCATTGCTTTTAGCTTATAAGCAAAAGCTATCCCGAGAACTTTTTGAGCAAGTACTCACTTTTGAGACTACTATGATTCTTGATGATTCACTTGCAGTAGTTTAGAATAACATAGAGAATCTAAACTCACAGTAAACACTGGCAGCAAGGCTGTAAATCACCAACATTCCTTGTACGTTTCACAATAACTGTATCCTTATTGAAGGTTATCCCCTGTAATCCGAGTCAGTCGCACAGATTGGGCTGCTATGTGATTGTTAACACATTCTGGGACCACCATCACTTTTTTTAGAGTGTCTAGATCTGGAAGACCTAACACTGTTCCATTCTCTTTGAAAGTTGTTGCCTTCCTATGTTCCATGAGCTCTACAAGCCTTCTTGCACGGGGGATCCCTAGAAACAGGAGTGAGGCATACATTTGATATTCCATATATTGCCATCTGAACAGGTCATCTAAATGCCATAACATGACGAGTTGTAGGTGAGATATGTAGATTTTTTAAGGTCGAGAAAGTATCCTAAGACATGGTCAGATTGACAGCAAGATGCAATACATTTTTGGGGGGGGGGGGGGGGGGGAAGGTCAAGGATCGGCTCTTCCTTAACCCAAGCATACTCTCTTAGCTGAAAAATTCATTCGTCAGTAGTTACTTGATTCTGTTTTTCATTAGAGGCAGCTGAGTGGGGGAATATCTGTTCAATGATCAGTCAATTCTAGCTTTCACACTGTTTCCCCTATATTTCAGGAGGTGCAGCTAAATGCATTCTACCAGAGAGATAAACAAAAATGTTAAGTGAGAATAAATAATAGGAGTCAAATTGTCAGGATTGTCAGCCAGTTAGATGGGCCCGCCACCAATCCAAGGCTTTGTCAAAGTGTACTTACAATAAAATGAGTGTCCTTTAAAAGGTATTCCAGCACAAGGCGCCTTCCCAAGCTTCCAGTCACCTCTATCTGTAGCTGACATTATCCCCCTTCTCTCTCTCTCACACACTCTCACACACAAACCGCTCAAATTTCTGTGTGCGATGTAACTGTGGCAGTGAGGCAGTCTATTTAGGACGACTTCTTCACAGGGGTATCGTGCTACAAAGCCACATTAGTATTACTCAAGTCAGGTAAGTGATTTCAACTTCGTTGGTGTATAGGTTTGGATATGTACGCACAAATCTCGGGCAGTTATAGGGGCTTACAGGACGCTTGCAATAGTCTGGCATACCAAAATGACAGCACTCGCTCAATAGTGGTTCAATGACAAAGCCATCATGTGGATTGAGACAAGGAATGTCGCCCTCAAGGTCTTCGCAGTAGCCACAGAAAGTGAAGCCATACTCAGGGATGTTTTCAGAGACTTTGAGGTTATCATGAAGTTGACAGGAAGATCTGGGGAGTGGAATGCACACATCATCACCTTGATCAGTAGGGATGGCCATGGTGCCAACCATGAACAGAGCAGTCGCGGTGAAGATGGAGAGGAACTTCACGCTTGCGGTCAGAAAGAAGTCTTAACGGACGCGTGGGAAGAGAGATTTGAGCTCAAGAGATCAACTGAAGTGTGGCTTAAAAAATTTCCTATCTGGTTGTGGGCGAGAAGGGCACCTTTATATAACTTCACGAAAATCGTCTTAGATATCAAAATCAGGGAGCACCTGCCTTCCCATGATAAAGTGAAATGTATCGCCCGCAACCTTTGTCAGTTAAGATATCTCCTTGGCAATGGCCTGACTTTAGTTAGATCAGGCCGGGAAATCATTCAGAAAGCCATGTCATGTCCAGATGTCCAAACTTGAGGCCAATTGCAAGCAGAGGTGTTTTGCTGCTGGGGGTAGGGCTGAGAAATTTCCGGAATGTTGTTCCCCCTTTCCATCAATAGGAAGGGCGTTTAGCCCTCTGACCATGAATATCACTATTCACTGTTATCTGGTTGCAGATTGCTCTGCGGGAATCCTGGATTGGGGCCCTTGGCATGCCTTGTATAAACTTGTCTTTCTGTCCGTGACCATGCGGATGTCACCTCTCCGTGAGGGGTTCAATGGAATGCTGTTTGGACCATAGAGAGCAATAGATTAAGTTGCAGAAATATTGGAAAGCATCTCCCTGTCTTCCTCTTGTGAAGCGAAGTCAATATCCCTGTGCTCTCTGGGCCATGACTAGAATAGGCAGAGGTAGTGATATAGGATTTGAGGCCTTCATTTAGCCTGCATTCTTAACATCTGTAACCTGGGCAACAATGGATCCTGAGATGCAGGATGGAGAACAAGCGGAGCCTTTCTAATCCAGGACTACTGTATTGGTTTAAGGCTCGATCGGCGAAGAGAAAGCCATCAACATGTAAGAGGTTACCTTGAATGAAAAATCCATGGGCTATACTGGATGCTTCTGGAGCAAGAGGAACAATTCCCCAGCCTGGGCTTGTTCAGATCGACAACGCCAGGAACATGGCAATATGGGATTTGGTCCAGAGATATGGTATCAGTGGCTCCAGCAAGCTGACGACCAGAACTTTTCCACAATGTGGCCATGGAATCTTCATTTCTGGAACTTCCTTCCAACCAAACAAGAGCTCGCGACCCTCCATGGCTAACCGGAAAGCCCTGGTAGCGGATGATGATGATCGCATAGGATGAAAGCGCGCCGACACAAGAGATAAGGAATCAGGATTGCACCAATCAAACAAAGCAATCCCCGAATCAAGGCAGTCCTCTTTTCCATGCGTATCCTGGCGAGGACGAACTAGGAGCGACTTGTACCCGACCACCAGGAGTCGTTCCATCCGAACACCCAGAAAACGACAGCGGCGCCAAGTGCTGCCGTCCTGTCAGTACAACATGCGTCATGGGATGACAGATCACTAACTAACATAACAGCACAGGAGGGAGACCCATAAGGGTGGATGCTTGCAAGTGTGACATGTAGTTGTCGGGGAACCCTCAAACCGACGCAAGAATCATGATAAGAGACTTGTGGGATGAAGCCATATCTGGGGTAGCTAGGGATAAGACATGACTACCATTGCATCCATTGCATTCAGAACATGAGCACTTCAGCTCACCTTGGTTGCCATTTGGTCCTGATCACCAAATCAACTTCTCTCTCTCCATCTGTGAGGATTCAAGAATCTCTTCTTTTTGTCTCTTTTTGCCCCCCTTTTGTATTATTTTTCCTTCTACATGCTGTCATCTGTAGAGAACATTACCTTCCCTCGAAATGTCAAAAATATATGGAGCGATTCTGTGTGCCTGCTGTCTATACATCTGGCTTTTGCACTGATCACTATTGATGATTCCAAGGGCATGGAGGGTGCCTTTTTGGCGCATCCTGAAACATTTCCTTCTTGGCCTTGCTATCTGCATGGACAGATAATCACGCACGTGTCGGTTGGTAGAGGTTGTTCAACAGTGTCCGAAGAAGCTTGAATAACACTTTAGAGCTTATTGGAAGCAGAGATCTCTCTTTATAAGCAGTTCAGGTGAAATCTTTGGGACTGTTATAGGTGCAAGAAAGTCTAGTCATTTGCAAATCAACACTCAGAGATTCAGATAAGCGAGGAGAGAGATTCAGTGTCAAAGCACCAGTCTTGACAATACTCACCTACATGTGAGGTTAGAAAAGGTTAGGGATACTAACATGGTCTTAACTCATAACTCCTTTTATAATTGGAATAGGGGAACCAGAGCTAGAAGCAAGATATGTTGGAAAACAGAAAACGGGCAGCAAGTTTAACTGAAGTGGGTCGAGATGCTTAGACATATCTACCTTCAGGGTTGCCACTTCTGTTCTGAACAAGACCATTGAATGCATCAGGCGCCCATGGTTCAATAAACTGTGATGGAAGAGCCTGTCAACAGGCTGCCCATTGCCTCCCCAGAAGGTTATGTGTGCTGAGGTGTCCTATGTTTTCTGGCGAGGTTTTTGCTAAGATCCTGACTGAAATGATGGAGTGGGCATCTCTCAAGGCCAACTAGCCCGCTAAACAAGAACCACAAATACCTTTCAATTCAGGCGCTCTAACTCGCTCTCAATCCTCTGGTCAGACGAGACCTCAGGAAAAACTCTATATCGGATCAAGGAAGATCTGACACGAGAAGCTGGAGACTAACTACATGGAGACCAGCGTGCTTCGTACGGTGAAAAGTGTCTCTTTTATTGAATGGAGAGCAGGACGCGCTGTGCCAAACCCAGGTAAGCTTTGTGCCCACAAACTCTCATTTCATAGATCTGCCCAAGGAGGTCCCCAAGCTTGTGTGAGTTACCGCAAGCTGGCCAGAAGTATCAATCCAAAACTAATTGAAGCATTGGCTTAGCGTCAACGGATATAGCTGCTATCTCACCATTGTTCCGAGTGAACTCGGCTCTAAGACTGAATTTCGAGATACGAGGAGAATAAAATGTTGCTCGCTATTGACGTGGGGCCGACTTAATTTCCGTTTCGGCTCGGCAAGGTGAGGATCACGTGCACAACAATGTTCAGGAGAGTCGGCCCGAACTTTGCGGAGTTGGCTTCGGTCGTCGAGCTGTAAACCCTAGAGAAGAATTTTCACACCCTTTACAGAGTAACAACTTTTAATATTGACATCGCTATTATAACAGGTTGATTCATAATTACAGCCTTGTGGTACAATCAACAAGACATGCAAGCCTTTCCAATATCGTACATATCAGGCAATCCAATAGGGAACTAATCCATCAAGGAAATGCCTCGATTATAAGGGGTTCGAACAATAACCATTCACACACAGGTGACAAAGGCAGTCCAAGAGTCCAGATATCCTTTTAAACAAGTTAAGATCTCGTAGGCCCCAGCCAAGGCCCATACGGATTGCGTACAAAAAATGGTCATACCGAAAATAACTTTCAACTCAAAACTGCATCAAATCATCTCGTCCTTCCCCTAGTATTCACGGATTTATATCTCCATCCTGTCGTGTGGTCAAAGTTAATTTTACAGGCCGGGCCTCGAAGAATGGAAATGCGACCAAGCCTGACAGACGAAAGTGGTGCTTTGATTATGCCCCCTCGTTGTCACCAACTCTGATCGTTCCTTCGTTGCCAATTCCGTTGGACCAGAAGCCATCAATACTAAGAGTGCTATATCAGGGGTTAGCATTCCTGAATATTTTAAAATGTCAGTGCAAAGCTTACATGGACTGCATGCTATCATGGGAAACAAGGAGCCAGTATCCGAACACTCCCTGTGACAAAATATCAAGGATCGCATAGATGATAATCTCGGCGTCGACGCTCATCCGGCGTGTATTGGATGATGCAGCCCATATGCTGATCAAAATTGCCAGGTTAGTACAGCATAAAATTGTTAAAGAAAAGGGAACAACTTACATTGGATAGATTAGGAGCAGAACGAGGAAGTATCCCGCAATCGAGGAGTAAAACGCCCTGGTCTGATTGTCCTTTGCCAATGTTGCCCTGCGTCCATGGAATCCAGTATGATATACGACAGTGAGATATGACAAGCATGAAATCGTGAACCATGCCCATCTTGTACCATGTTCGCTAAAGACACTGATTAGCCCAGTAACGAACATGGTAATATTAGCAGCGACCGAAATGAGAAGGCTAGCTCCATTCATCCCCGCCAACAGGGCCAAGTTGATAAGGATAATAGTAAACGTTAGGCCCCAGTTGAGCCAGCGAACCCAGAAGACCTGGCGGTAGACTTCCTCCACTGTGTCAGGCGCATTCTTGTGTTCCTGGCGAATGCTAGCAACATTATAGCCAATACCCTCTCCCGTGGCCATAGCGAAATAGGCAAGGAAGGAGATGGTTGTTACGAGGGATGTTAGGACATGGAAAAGCCGTTTTTGCTGAATGATATTAGCCTTCCGACTGATGCCGGAATCACGGGTCTGTGTCCTTTCCTACTTACCACTACTACTCTGGCACCCAGAATATAGAAGATCAAAGAGGAGACGAGCATTAAGATTGCCACGACCCTACCGTCAATCAGTGAGTATAGCTCTAGGGCTTAGCGATCATCTCTCATAACACATACCATAGTGCTCTTCGTCCTGTATTTCCAAGCTCCTGAAAGATAGGAGGCTTTCCAAGTGTAGGAATATGCGGATCATCCATCATTCCAGGGGCCTTAAACATGTTTTGAACAGAGTCGAAATTGAAAAAGAGGCTTGAATCAGATCTAGCAGGTAACAAGTAGATCCAAATGAGAGCTGAAGAAATATTCTATCCAGAAGCCTGTCGAAAACGCGACGCACTTTCTCACGCACTCCGTTCTCCAGATAGCTCACTGAAGAATGGCGCTCAACCTAGCATATATACATAAACACGCGCAGATGGCGAAACCAGCTGCCCCTCTTGCAGAGCTGGCCCAACGCCCCCCAGGAAGTAAGTCGTCATCGGTTTGCCAACTCGCATGCTTCAGTCCAATCGGGCACGGTGAAGAGAGACGGTTGGCTTTCTTGAAACCCTGGAATTGTTGGAAGACCTTCAGGCTTAACTCCGGTGGCTTGGCTGACGAAAGAGGTACAAAAAGGTCAACCAGCAAACAATTGAAGCTTGAGATTAGAATTGGAAGCGTGATTGGTAACTTCACCGTAGAGGAGGCGAAAACTCCTCGTCGGTTGACTGTTAGGGCTGAGTTGAGCAGTGACATAACAATCACCATTGGCGTTGTTGGACAAGATGCAGGTTACCAACGGTTGTGGACCAAACTTCGCTGCTCCGCCAAGGTCTCTTGGCTGTTGATATTAGTTGGATCGTCATAGTCCATCGAAGGGCAATGCCCGCACGGTGTAAATAAAGAGATGATGTGCTCCAATATGGCCTAAATCTATCTATCGTACATTGTATGGGGATATCATCCAATATCTACTCTAAAAATACATGTATACAGTGCATCAACGAGAGAAACTGCTCGCAGCCTCTGAGGCTTCTGAGGTATTCGAAGCCTCACTACTATTCAGCTCCAATTCGTGAACAACATCTTCACATCTCTGACATAGCGCGTCTTCCGCCATCGACTCAGGAACAAGGTACCTCCAACATCTTGCACACTTTCCTTCCACAGGGGTATATATCCACGCCTTTCCCATCTCGCCACTGGGTAATTCGAACTGCCCTTCGTAGCTCCATTCTGCGTTTTCCACTTCGTGCGGCACTTCACTACCGCTTCCCAAGGTAACAGAAGACACAACAAAAAAGTCGGCTAACTCGGCAGTGCCAAGTTCCTGGAACACACTAACGGAGTCGGGGACGTTCAGATGGACATACGATTGAAGAGAAGAGCCCATTTGTTTTTTAACTCGGGCAGTTTCCTGCATCATTTTTACGGCCGCATTGGCAGCCGCTATTGCTGAATAGCTCTTTTCTAGGAACAAATTTCCCCATTTTGGATCGGGGGGAACCATAATACGGCGGAGAGGGTGGTCGACAGCGGACTTGATAACATCAGGGGTGTGTTCCCATGACTCTTCGACAAGGAGCGGGACAAGCGGTCCCAGAATGCTTTGAAGATGTGAGTATATGTGGAAAATGGTGGTTTGCGCTGCTCGTCTGCTTAGACCGTCGGTCGAATCTGCATATAACCGGTCTTTTATCGACTCAATGTAGAAAGCAGAAAAGTCGGCATTGGCCCAACGGTTAATGGCAGTCACTGCCTTGAAAAACTCTAGATTTGAGAATGCTTCCTGGCAAGCGAGGACAAGGGATCGCAATTGCGATAAAGCAATTTTGTCGGTTGCACGTAGGGATTCATACGGAATTTGATTCTTCGGATCAAAGTCTTGAAGCGCACCAAGAATGAGTCTGAAGGTCACTCGATATTTGTGAAGACTTCCGTTGGTAGCCTTGAGTATTGGTTGCCCGATAACCACATCTTTTGTGTAGTCGCTTCCAGCAACCCATAATCGCAAAGCATCTGGTCCAAGAGCATCGTAAACCGGTGCAGTTGGCTTCTCCTTGGCACCTTTGGCCTTCTTAATTTTCAACGGGGGAAGGAGGGTTCCATTCATGATTTCGTGCGGATGAACGATATTTCCAATGGACTTGCTCATTTTACGGCCTGCATGGTCGAGAGTGAATCCATGGGTGACAAGGGTCTTAAATGGTGCCTTAAAGTGACCTTTTGAACCCTTCGCCAACTGATGCGCAATATGTGTCAACAAGCTTGATTGGAACCATCCACGATGCTGATCTGTCCCTTCAAGATACATATCAGATCTGGTAGATTCAATGCCATCGTTCTCTTTCATCTGGGTCCAGCTCGTCCCGCTATCAAACCATACGTCCATAGTATCTGTTCCTCTAGCGTAACCCGGGCCAGCGGGATCACGAAGAGAAGGCGGTATCCAAGCAATATCGTGTTCATTATCTGTCCACCAAGCATCAATCCCTCGCTGTTTGATGACATCCATAATATGAGTGACGCTTTCTCTCGTTAAAACAGCTTCACCAGTTCCCCTATGGTAAAGGGCGGGAATAGGAACTCCCCAAGCTCGCTGCCTGGAGATACACCACTCGGTTCTGTTCTTCACAAAAGCCTCCAATCTAGCCTTACCAGACTGAGGGACAAAACGAACATTCAGTAGAGCACTAACCGCTTGCTGACGGATGTCTCCCACATCAGCAAACCATTGCTCTGTCGCGCGAATGATAACTGGCAGCTTGGAGCGCCAATCGTACGGATATTTATGTTTGTATTTATGCTTGTGAAGCAGTCGGCCCTCCTCTTCCAGGTATTTGACGACAGCTTTGTTGCCTTCATTTAAAACGTGTTTACCACTCAGCATGGAAGGGCTGGAAGGCATGGCGGCATCAGTGAACCGACCCTCTCCATCGACAGGAGCTGAGGCTGAAAGTCCATGTTCTAGACACACTTCGTAATCCTCCATACCATGTCCAGGGGCACAATGGACCAAACCAGAGCCAGATTCATCTGTGACGAAATCCGCTGCAATTACTGGCTGACATGATCCATCTGTATCTTTAAAAAGTGGCCGATACGTACTCGATAACAAGCTGGTACCCGCAACAGACATAAGTACTTTGAGGCTTTCTTCAAGGAGCTGTTCAACATATTCTCGCCGCGATTCCGCGATCAGGAGCTTTCCATGCCTCTCAGACTGGACAATGATGTAGTTAAGGTCCTTGCTGACAGCAATCGCTGCATTCGCTGGTAGTGTCCAGGGTGTTGTCGTCCAAATGACCGCATATATCTCATCTCCAGAAGCCAGGGGGTGCTCTCTTATTTCCGTCGGCACGGTCGCAAGCGGAAATTTCACAAGGGCAGCATGCGACACATGATCATCGCGATATTCTAACTCCGCCTCCGCCAACGCTGTTCGTGTCGAAGGAGACCAATAAACGGGCTTATACCTCCGATAAATCAGCCCCTTATCCACCATCTCAAGGAACACCTCCAACTGCCTCATTTCAAATTCCTTGTCCATTGTTTTCCAGTAGTTTTCCCAATCGCCCATGACTCCCCACTCTCGGAAGCCCTTCATCTGCTTCACTACCGTCTCCTCGGCCAATTGTCGTGCAATCGCGCGGATATTAGCTGGGCCCAAGTCCTTCCCCACCTGATTTTTGGAATTCAGGGCTTTCAATTCGATGGGCAAACCATGGCAATCCCAGCCCGGAATGTATTCCACCCTCTTGCCCTTTGCCAGCTGAACTCGGCAGATAATGTCCTTCAATATTTTATTCAGCGCATGTCCGATATGTAAATCGCCGTTCGCGTAGGGTGGGCCATCGTGGAGCACGAATTGAGCGGAATCCGCGGGTCGCTGGCGACGCTGCCAGGCATACAAGTCATCGGTGCATCGCTGGAGATATTTTGCCTGTTCAGCGGCAGCAATGCGGGCCGGAAAGGTTGACTTGGGGAGTTTGAGCGTCGATGACCAGGATCGAGCGAGAGATCGTGACAAGTCAGACATGCTCCGTCCAGCTATTGCATAGTCGCTGTTGATAAGAGGTCAAGGCCGGTTGGAGTAATTTGAAGCTGGGTAGCTTTGCATCGATTGTGCAATCGACAGTTACGCGGAATTACGGACGCCAGTAACTACGGCAAGGAACTCGCAACTTCAGCGCTCACGATGCCGAGCATCTTTCAACGCTCTACGGAGTAATTTTTTTGAGAAGCTCCGAAATGCCAAGCCTGAGCCACCCATACAAGCCACTTCTGTCCGCAAGCAGTTTAACACAATTGATTACGTATGAAGATCGGTGGCTAAACCAAACACAGACTAGTCTATGAGCCACAAGGTGGCTTGTAGGCCTGTCAGATGTCAACGGACGATCCGGTCTTTTTTGGCCGCTTCGTAGCATCAACTGCTCGTGACGACACCCGGAAATACTCGCCTGATTCGCCTGGAAGGTGGACATACTCAGGTGGACGTTTGAGTCCAATGGTTACACCTGATTGATGTAAAGGGAGTCTCCACTCTTTATGAATCGAATCAGGGTTGGAGGGAGAGAAAGCTGCTTAGCTTAGCTCTGAGCAATGAAGAGGAATATGATGAAGGAATAGAAAGTGAATACAAAGGCGTTAAGATGGAATTAAATAGCCAATAAAGAGGGCCGAATTACCTCATATGCCACGTTTGTTCACCTCGCCAGATTGCACGCCGGAATGGTTACACCGTAGGTAATTTATGGGGGTTCAGGGATAAACGATGGAGTAGCACCTTCAACTCAAACCATTGCTGAAGCAGAGAAACTCCGTATCTCAGCTATAAAATGTGATCACTTAGCTCTAATAAAGTTACACACATACTGCACCATCTTCTCTAATCAGACCAAGTGAGAAGTGGGTATTGTCGCTCTAAACTATCCCAGTTGTCCACTCCACCTTTGAACGCCAGCGTAATCTAGTAAATCGTCAAGCAGCTAACAGATTCGTTCTTCAAGACTTCAAAAAGAGATCCCGGAAACCCATATATCTCCGTGTTACCAAGCGCATTGGCATCGCCAAGAGCGGGTTGATCCCCCTGTCTATTCCCGATGCTCTCTTCCCAACCCCCGAGGAGTTCGATGCTGCTGCCGGGGCTGTCCCCCCAGCCACGATTAAGCACCATGCCCCTCTGAAAGGCGGCCTCCTCTGAAGGATTCGAGTAGAAGCCATTCCAGAGTTTCTTAAGCCTCTCCGATATTACACTATAGGGTGTTTCTGAATTCAGAGAATTGTCACCGTTAATATTTAGCACCCAGCGACTCCGCCTATGCCGGTTAAATGGGTAGGAACCAGGAATGTTCCCATGTA